TTCAAGAAGTTTCTATGACCACGGCTCCTCTCTTGACCTATTGGGGTTGTCATTTTCAGCTCTGAAATTCAAGAGTGGGACGGATGTTTTGTCCTGAAATTCAAGAGTGGGGCAGGTGTTTTGTTCAAGAGTGGGACAGATGTTAAGAACAGGAACGTCTGTGTCTTCCCAGATGGGTAGGAATGGTTCCGGGGGACCCTCGGACTCTTGCTGCAGAGGTGACACCCGAGGGTGCGTGGCAGGCGGGCCAGGGTGCCGCGTTTACCCTCCGCCCCTCCCTGCTGCCCATCCTTGCCCAGCCTGCTGAGCGTGACTCACGTGTCCCCCAGAAGCCGCTTCCCGCAGAGTGTGACTGTGGCACCAAAAAGGGCATCTTTGTGTTGACTAAGTCTGGGCAGTGGCTCCTGGGGAGAGCAGAGCCCCGGCGCATTGGTGACAGCCGCTGGAAAGATGCGGGAGACAGACAGACCCTGGAGACGCCTGTGCAGAGCCTCTCGATGGTGGCGCTTCTAAGGGAATGAAGGGGGACCGTCCAGCCCTGAGCTCGTGGCAAGCCGCTGGTCCGCAGCTGTGCCAGCCGGGGGGCTGTTCCTTAGAGGGGTGCAGCTTCATCCCCAGTCTGGAAGAAGCATTTGTGACTTGGGGTGCTCCATCCCCTGCGCACCCTCCTCTCTTATGAATAAGTTAGGGTCCCCTGGAGGTTCCCTGCGGCTGGTCGGCTGGTGGTGGCGTGAGCACGTCTGTGGGAATCTTGGGAGAAACTCTTCCGCTGGCTGTTTGGAGCCCCTCGAGGGTCACAGCTGGACAAACTGTTCTTCAGCCTGGGCCAGAGAAAATGCATCAATGGCACACATGAAAACAGCGGCCCCCGGGTCTTGAGGGAGACCAGGCCCTGGCCCTGCCGTGTCCCGTCTCCCGCAGGGCCCGTGCTGGTGGGGAGGCGCGAGGCGCGCGGTTCCTTTCTCGCCCGTTTTCTTCACTGATGTGCTGCTGATTCACGTTGCACACAGAGGGTTCTGCTTCGAGATTCCAGAAGGCTCAGAGCCAGGAGGGATTGGTCAGCCTTTGTCTTTGATGGGTCCATGCTGGTCGGCAGGGTGGTCCCGGCCTGCCCAGACCCTCTGCCTCGGGGCCCTCTCCTGTCCCGGGGCGCTCCCTCGTCCGTGACCTGCTTTCCCCAAGTCATTTCTCTGGGACTCTAAAGCGCTCTCCCGGGCACCACACTGGGCTCTGCCCCTTGGCCGACTTCACTGCTGTGCCCGATAAGCAGCGCAGGTGATGGCGCCTAAAGCCGCGCTCTTGCTGCTCCGCTCCCCCAAGTCGAGTCCTCCCCTGCGCTTCCCCACCTTGGTAAATTCCCACCAGTCTCCCCAGCCCAGTGGGGCCCTCATTTTCCCTTCACTGTCCCCTGTCGGATCTCACCCAGCTCCTCAGGAGATCCGACGCCCTGCCTGTCTCCAGCTCCAGCTGCTTCTGCCCACCTGCCCACGCCTGCCACCCTCCCACGCCCGCCGCTCACGCTTCTCGCCAGCCGCCCCGGGCAGGCAGCCGCGCTCGCTCCCTGCGCAGGTGGGACCCTGGGGCGCCTGGCCTAAACCCTGTGGACTGCCACGGCTCTGAGGGATCCCGGTGCCTCCCTGTTCTCAGGGCTGTGGTCCCCACACACCCCGTCAACTCAGCTCACCCCACCCCCGTGTGTGCAGCGGCTGTGGTGTCCACCTTCGGCGGGGATTTTTTTTTTCTCACCAACATTACAGTGAAACGACATTGAATGAAGACACGGTCCGAGGACCGGCGGTTCACGCGCCGCCTACTGCGTCCCCCAGAGGCCGTGGGCCGGGGAAACTCGGGGTCTGAGAGCCAGGCGCCGAGTCCCGCCCGGACCACTTGGATGGAAGGCCTGGCGCTGACGACTCCCCGGCCCCCAGATCGAGACCCTGGAAATGACCAGTGTCGAGAGCCCCCTTAGGATGCGCTCCAGTCATTGCCCTCCCCAGGGAGCCCCTCTTTCGTCTTTCCCCCCAGCATCGATCAGTTCTGCCCATCGGCCAGCGCCGCTTCTCCGTGCGCTCGGGCTGGCGAGGCCTGGTGCTGGCCTCTTCCGCTCGGGCTCATGTCTGCGAGGCTCGTGCTGCGTCGCGTTTCCATTGCTGTCCTCGCTATCACTCGTGGGCCCCGGGAGAGGAGGCACCATTCCCCACCGCCTGGCGTGGCTGTGTGCCCGCGGGTCGTCCCCCGGTGCGGGCTGTGGGGCAGCGGTGCTCGGGACCCTCGTGGACACATTTGGCTGCGATCCCGTCTTCACTCGGTGTCGCTTCCCCGTAACCTGCTTGTGTTCCGTGTCGCCTCCCGGAGCGTTGCTGTCTCCAAGAACCTGGCGCTGACACTCAGCGAGGACTCACTGGACACGCTTCTTTTGGGTGCCCACCGCAGGGGTGGGGTGCTGGGTCACCCCGCATACGAGTGTTCAGCTTTTGTTGATACTGACACTTTTCCAAGGTGGTTGTACCAATTTGCATTTTTGGAACGGGCCTGCGTTCCAGGATTAGCTAGCATCTGCGTCTCCTGCGTCCTGGAGAGACGCGCCTGGGCTGCCTCGGGGGTTGGGGCTGGTGAGCAGCTGCATCCTGGGTCCTGGGTCCACAAGGAGGAAGAAAGGCCCCCCTTTCTCCTGTCCCATCCTAGATCCCTGCGTCCCAGATGCCTGCACATTGTTGAAAGCTGATTTCCATAACCCTTAGGGATGGGCAAGTCAAGGGACAGTTTGTCCGGAAGCCCCTTCCCTGAGCCAGAGTCCAGGATGCCCATGAGCTCACCTCAACCTCAGGCCAGAGGTGCCCCTGACTCCCTAAATTCAGCCAGCCATGGTCAGTGGGTGCTCCAGGATTCCTGACCGTCTACAACATTTTGAAACAGAAAGGAAGCCTGGCCATTCTCAGAAAGAGGAACCTCAAGTAGGATGTGGTTTTCTAATCAGGGGAAGTGGATCCCAGCCATGGTGACACGGCAGTACAGGGGCTGCGCGGATGTTGGGCAAAACAGCTCCTGCATCCAGCCCAGGGCACCCCCGGGGGGGGGGGCAGGCAGCCAGGCCAGGGCTCAACTGGGGAACCCCTGGGGGTAAGAGCGTCTCCCTTAAATTCAGCATGTCCTTTCAACATTTTCAAAGGCATTTAAATCTGGGAGGATGTGATCTTAGGGAAGGGAAGTATTTTCTAAAGAATGAAAACAAAACATCAAGAAAAAGATGCATCCATTTGACGACACTGAAAAACGTCTTGTGAGTCAAAAGGACACCATCGAGTGGAAAGGCCCCTAGCACCCGGGATGTTCTCAACCCACGTAATCAACAAAGGCATTGAGCCTACAGTAACCAGAGATGCCCCACTGGCCAATGAGAAAAAACCCCACAGACACATGGACAAAGGGTTTTAGTGGGCTATTGGCAGGAGAGAGGTGTTTTATGGGTAATCAGGAGAATGCAAATGAAGCTGTGCATCAGGATAAACAGCCAACCATGCCGAGTGCTGGCGAAGGGCGAGGGGGCAGTGGCCAGCGGCGGAGGCACTGGGAACGCCTCACGGGCGGAGCCACTGGAAGGGGCATGACACCTGCTCAGGTGTGTATCCTGGACCTGCCCGCCCAGGTGGCAGCCACCTGCCACTTAACTGGTGAGCATTTGAGATGTGTAGAATGTGGTTGAGGAATGGAATTATTTTTAACATTTTATTTAACTTCAGTGCATTGAAATTTCAGAATCGATTCCTTTATTGAAAGACCTTTCCATTGGGAACACCTCAAGCCTGACGTTCACCCGTCAATTGTACGAAATCTACGTCGCGATGAAAGCCTCGTGTCCAAGTTGCCGTATCCTCTAGAAAAGCACAAAGTATAAAAGTTAAAATACCAGATTTCAAGGGTTTAATCCCCAAACAACATAAAATATCTCATGGGTCGCTTTTCTAGGTTGATAACATTGAAGTGACCGAATTTTGGATATAGTGGCTTAAATAAAACATAGCAGCACACTTCATTTTATCTTTTCCCCTTTTTTTATTTTTCAAATGTGGCTGCCAGTAACTTGGACTTTCTCCGTGTGGTTTATATTCTGTTTCTCTTGGATACTCTCCTGGAGACTCAAAGGTACTCAAGGAGGCATGAACGAGTACATTGCAACACTGATGGAATAACCAGAAAGAAGAGAGACGAACTTTGAAGCTCAGCAGCAGGAGAGGGGGTCAATAGACTGTGGTTTATAATCGCCCCGTGAAATACACCGCATGAGAGTTCAAAGCCTGAGCTGGCGCTCCCTGTGTCAGCCGGATAAGGATTACCTTGAGCAGCAGATTCCCGTCACTCGAAGGTGTAAAGCATGCAGAATGTTGGGGATTGTTTGTGGATACATGTTAGTATAATGAAAGTATAAAAACATGCCTGGAAGTGATAAGCCATGGGAATCCAGGCGGCGGTGGAGGGAGGAGCTGGAGGGAACCGGAGGCCGAGAGGAGACCTAGTCGGGTCTGCAACGTCTGTTACTTGCTGAGCGGTTGGGCAAGACGGGGAGTTGGGTAAGATGATCTCAAGAGCTTGTTTGATGGTCAAAGCCATTTTTAAGCCGTTTGGTTTCTGCTTAGAACATTTCTAAGAACTGAGCCGTTGTTTCCTCAGGTTTGAGGCTGCCTGACCGGCTGACCTGCCACTCCCCACCTTTGCCAGCCCCCTGGCCGAGCCGGGGTCGCCCACTGGTGGGTGTTCTAGAGGAAAAATGACGAGGCAGGGGTCTGCTGATGTCTTGGTTTGAGGGGCTGCAGTGAGGGGTGCAGCTGGAGTGTCCAGCTGTGATGAGAGGCAGCTGGACTGTGGTGGCAGCCACTGGGGGGCCAGGCCGGGACTCTGTCCCGAGCTTCCTGCTGTCTGGGGTCCTGACATCGTTTTCCAAATGGGTCTCTCAAAGGACCCCCTTGACTGCGGGCCTCATTTTGCTTTTGCTTCCTTTTCAGGACAGCTGGCGTCTGAGACGTGAGAAGCAGGATGCCCCCCGGGGTTGACTGCCCCATGGAATTCTGGACCAAGGAGGAGAACCCGAACGTGGCCGTTGACTTCCTGCTGCCCACAGGGGTCTACCTGAACTTCCCGGTGTCCCGAAATGCTAACCTCAGCACCATCAAGAAGGTACACCCTCGGCCTCGAAACTCGTCCTCTGGCCTTGGAACCCAGACAGATGCTTATGCTCACCCAGAGTTTCTCAGAGCTGAATTTCATATGAATTTTATTTTTTATGAGATGATATTTCTGAGGTGGTGTTGGTTTAAATGTTATTTTAGTGGTGCAGGTTCACACCCCTGCAGATGCAGGTTATCACGCCACCAGAACACCAGCAATCCTCACCACAGCCCGCTGGCCTCCCCCACCTTTGTTCCCCGTCCCCCCCACCTTCTAAGGTTTGTTTTGATTTAGTTTGTTCTTTGACTTTGTTTCTTTATATTCCACACCTGAGTAACATCATCCAGAGCTTGTCTTTCTCCTTCTGACTTTCTGCACTCAGCATCATCCTCTCCAGTTCCATCCATGTTGTCACAAAGGGCAAGATTTTATCTTTTCTTTTTTATGCCTGAGTAGTATTCCACATGTGGTGTGTGTACACACACAGACACACACACACACACCACTTCTTTTTTGGGAAATGTATTTTATTTTATTTTTTTTATAGAGGCATGTTTTTACTTATTTATTTATTTGTTTGTTTGTTTGTTTCATTTATACAAGCACTGGGTACAGTCAGAAGTGCGGGAGGGTGAGAGAATTCACCAGAGCCAGAGCGGGGAGCAGAGCAGGCAGAAGGACCGAAGTACACTGCTGAGGGGAGCAGCGGGCGGCAGGAGAGGTCTGCGCGCCATGGGGGACCCTCCTCCGGTGGCCGGGGAGCAGCCGGGGATCGAACTGGCGCCGCAGAGGCCGCGGGCAGCTTCGCAACCCAGCGCTCAACCGCTGCGCCACCGGGGAGGCCCCGGGAAATGTATTTTAAAGGATAGAAATAATATCCATGAATTGTTGCTCCAAATGCATCTCCCCTCCTTCACTGGGCCCATTTTCCCTCATGATGGCCCAGGGGTGCTGCTCCCCCAAGGCCCTGACTTTCTCTAGGACTGAAAACACATTCATCGTTGGTGACGGAAGAGGGTTACCCATCTCTCTGTCTTCAGAGCTGTCATCATAGTAAACGTTATCTTTGGAAGTACTTTTTGGTTTTGATGAATAATTTTCAGGGCGGCTGACTGAGTCAAGGGATTAGACTTCTGGAGAATACTTGGTGGGTATTGTCTTGTGACTTTTCAAAGGGCTTGTCCCACTGACAAAGGGAGGGGTTGAATGGCTTATGCCAGGGAACATGATGTGGGCTCTAAATTTTAAAAGCTGCACTTTTGGAGTGGCGGGCGGGGTGCCTGGGGGGAAGAAAGAAGAGAAGAGCGACACCATCTTTGGGGTATTTTCCTAGTTTCCCCCCCCACCCCGGGAGATTTCTTTCAAAATTAAATTTATTTTTTTTAATTTCAAAAGTAATAAGGACCCATTGAAATTTAGGAAAATAAGAAAATGTACAAGGGGGCCTCCCCGGTGGCGCAGCGGTTGAGCGCTGGGTTGCGAAGCTGCCTGAAGCCTCTGCAGCGCCGGTTCCATCCCCGGCTGCTCCCCGGCCACCGGAGAAGGGTCCCACATGGCGCGCAGACCTCTCCTGCCGCCCACTGCTCCCCTCAGCAGTGTACTTCGGTCCTTCTGCCTGTTCTGCTCCCCGCTCTGGCTCTGGTGAATTCTCTCACCTTCCTGTGCTTCTGACTGTACCCAGTGCTTGTATAAATAAATAAACAAATCTTTAAAAAAAAAAAAAAATTTAAAGGCTTCTGAGGAAAATTTAAAAAAAAAAAAAAAGAAAGTGTAGAAGGAAGAAAATGACTTACGATCCAGCCCTATAAGACAGCCACAGTTAATGCTGTTTATTTCTGGATTTTTCCCCCTTTAGACAGCATGCATGTTGGGTGATAATTCCCATGATACACTTTAGGATTTTTTTTTTTGAGTTGTAACATTGTAGCATCCTTTTCATGTTATTAACTCTATGTAATTATCCTTCCAAAGCTGGTTGGATTTTCCTGCCACCAGAGCATGTGGGGGACTCTGGACACTGAGGTGGGACCTGTCAGTCCCCACGTCTATGTCACACCCCACTGGATTTCAGTTTCTTCATGTTTTCATTTACACCAGGGGCCAGATAGTCGATATTCTAGGCTTTCCAGCCAAAGATGATGTGCAAAGGTCCCAACTGGCTGTTTTCCCGGAGAAACGTTAGTCTGGTACATCGTGGTTTGTATCAGTACTTTTGTGGTTTAAGGAAATCGTCCTGATGACATGGGCTGCACTGCAGCTTGGGGTTCTCCCGCTGACAGGTGCATTCTGGAGCCCCCCATGTCCCTAGCTTCGGGCACCCCCAGATTCTTCCTCCGTGCTGCCTCTTTGTGTGCTGAGGCTGCCATTACCTGCCCCCACGGCAGCAGCCCTGGGCAGCTTCTTCCTCCTTTGCTTTCTCTGGGACTCTGCTGTAAACATCTTTGCACTGAAGCGCTAATGTTAGGGGGCTTCTCCAGTGGCCCCTGGGGACGCATCACCCCAGGGGCATGCTGACAGCCTAAACTGAACAGCCCAGTTTTGTGGGACCCCTCTGTGCATTAACAGCTTCTGAATTAGTTGACAGCATTTAAAAGGCATGATGAACCCCAGAACAGCTGCCGGGGGGGCGTGCCTCCCGCCTGCAGCCCATGCTCACAGCTCCAGATCCTGCGTCCCCCAGCAGAGAGCATCCCTGGGGCCCACCTGGCCCGTGCCCCGGGGATCCAGAGAGGGTGGCAGTCCTGGAACCCTGCCTTGCCCTGTGAGGGTGGGGCGTGCGGACTGAGACCAGTCTCTTGGCCGGAGGGGCCCACCTGCCCGCTGTCCCTCCCAGGCGCTGTGGCAGCGAGCCCAGTATGAGCCGCTCTTCCACATGCTCAGTGACCCCGAGGCCTACGTGTTCACCTGCGTCAACCAGACGGCAGAGCAGCAGGAGCTGGAGGACGAGCAGCGGCGGCTGTGCGACATCCAGCCCTTCCTGCCCTTCCTGCGCCTGGTGGCCCGCGAGGGCGACCGGGTGAAGAAGGTCATCAACTCGCAGATCAGCCTCCTCATCGGCAAAGGTCCGCCCCGGGCCCCTCAACCAGGCCCCTGTGCCCGCCCCTGCACCCCTGCCCCCCCACCCCCCCCTCCTCCCTGCCTCTCAGGTCTGCACGAGTTCGACTCCTTGCGCGACCCGGAAGTCAATGACTTTCGGGCCAAGATGCGCCAGTTCTGCGAGGAGGCGGCGCTGCGGCGGCAGCAGCTGGGCTGGGAGGCCTGGCTGCAGTACAGCTTCCCGCTGCAGCTGGAGCCCTCGGCCCGGAGCTGGGGGCCCGGCACCCTGCGGCTCCCCAACCGGGCCCTCCTGGTCAACGTCAAGTTCGAGGGCAGCGAGGTGAGCCTGTGGCCCTGCTGGGAACATCGCCCCTTTGCTGCCATGTCTGTGGGGGACACTTCCCGCTGGGACTCCCAGGTCATCCACCAGTTCCCGAAATTCCCCTCCTGCCGTGACCAGGGGGGTTGTGGGGCACCAGGCGGCTCAGTGAGGCCGACTAAGCGAAGGACCTTGATCACTGGTCCATTCATTCCTCCAAGAGCGGTTTCCTGGGCGCCGCCACGTGCCCGCGGGGACCTCACATCCAGGGGAGGGGTGCTTGCTGCGGGCACAGAGGTACCCAGAGTCCACGGGTTCCCCGTCAAGGCCGAGGGCTGATGCTCCCTCCTTCCCTAGGAGAGCTTCACCTTCCAGGTGTCCACCAAAGACGTGCCCCTGGCGCTGATGGCCTGCGCCCTGCGCAAGAAGGCCACGGTCTTCCGGCAGCCGCTGGTGGAGCAGCCCGAGGACTACACCCTGCAGGTGAACGGCAAGCACGAGTACCTGTACGGCAGCTACCCGCTCTGCCACTTCCAGGTGAGGGCTGGGGCAGGGGGTGGGGAGGCTGCCCCTGGGCCCTTCTCAAAACCCCCAGGCTAGGCCTTTGGGGGTCACAGCAAGAGCACCCTCTGGGCGGCCGCCCCTCCTGTGCGCTCAGGGACAGCTCCGTTTGACGAGGTTGCCAGGGAAGGGGCAGGAGGTGCCCTCGAGACCCAGGCTGGGCAGGGGTCAGCATGGGTGTGACCCCTGTAGCCACTTGGCGCTCACTCTGCCCCCACCTCAGTATATCTGCAGCTGCTTGCACAGCGGGCTGACGCCCCACCTCACCATGGTGCACTCCTCCTCCATCCTGGCCATGCGGGACGAGCAGAGCAACCCCACCCCCCAAGTCCAGAAGCTGCGCACCAAGCCACCCCCCATCCCCATGAAGAAGGTGAGCGGGGCACCGGGCAGCACCCTCCCCTCTCCCCTCCCTCCCTGCTCTGGTCCAGCCCTGGAGTCTACCAGGCAAGGCCCAGGGCCGGCTGGGGGTTGGGGGCCTCTTGTCTCATGCCCCTTGGTTGGTTGGCATTGACAGCTTGAGCTGGGGCGGGCACCTGGTGGGGTGGGGTGGGGAGCCTGCCTGAGGGCCCAGGAGCAGGTCCCTCTGGCTGCCCTTGCCAGGCCCCCCTGCGCCAGAGGCACGCTCCTGCCTGTGGAGCACAGGGGTGCTGGGCCCCAGGGGCTCTGACCAGCGGGTTTCTGTGAAGGGCGGTGCTGTGGGCAGGCAACTGAGCCTTGCCGCGCACCCGCAACACCCAAGTGGCCACGGGCCTTGTCAGTGTCCAGCGAGCCTGGGGTCCCTCTGCTTAATGGCCCCGCCTCTCCCTCCACCGCCCAGCCCTCCTCTACCTCCCTGTGGGCCCTGGAGCAGCCCTTCTGCGTCGAGCTGATCCAGGGCAGCAAAGTGAATGCCGACGAGCGGATGAAGGTAGGGGCTGCCGGGCGGGGGGCTGGAATCGCTGGGAGGGGGGATCTGGGGTGTTTTTTTGCACAAACAAGGTGGCTGTGGCCTGGAGGGGCGGCAGAGGAAGAAGGGGGGGTCACACAACGAAAGCCACCTGACCACATTACCCAGCATTCCTGCCTGGGGTGGCTGTGAGCCGCTTCAAAACAGGAAGGGGGGAGGGGAGCGGACCGGGGTGGGGGGTACTGAAGCGGGCGATTCGAAGAAACGAGGCTCAGTGAGTTCTGGGTATTTGACTCTGGTGGAGGTTGTGGGGCCAGGCCCAGCCTAGGGACATGAAAACTGCAATCTGGGAGGTGACAGGCCTGGGAACAGGAGCTGCTCCAGCTGGGCTAGGGGCTGGGGGTTCCCAGGGGGCATGGAGAGGCGTGTCCATGGGGGGGAGAGGCTGGAGAGAGGAGGGGCTGGAGGGGGCAGCTGCTTCTGAGCTGCAGGGACAATGTGGGACTGTTCACACCCTCAGCTGCAGCCCTCAGGGCAGCCTGCGAGGTGCAGATTTTATTGCATCATTGGCAGGTCCACTAGGCCCAGAGCGTGTCTTTTTGGGGAGCACTTTCCACTGGGGCCACTGCACCAGCAGGACACGTCTGGCTGGGCTCCCTGTGGGATGGTGGAGGAGGGGTTGGGGTGGGCAGTGAGGGCTTTCTCAGGGGGTGCTCAGGCTTCACACTCAGGTCTCAGACGACTCTGAGCAGCGGAGGGGCCCTGGGGTGTTAGAGCTGGCAGGGCCTGGGGCTACCAAAGTCCAGTGGGGAAACCAGCCCAGAGCAGGGAAGGCCGCCCAGCCCTTGGGCCCCTCCCTTCACCCCGTGGCCCCTGCTCCTGCACAGTCAGTGGGGGGCCCCCTTTGGCACCACTTGCTCCCACATGGAAAGTGGGGTCCAGACCCCGGGAAAGGCAGCCCGTTGGGGAGGAGATAGGACCTGCGGTGGGTGGGAGGCTGGGGAAGGCCGCGGGGCCAGGCCCCTGCCGCCCGTCACCCTGCCCTGCCCCTCCTCCCCCAGCTGGTGGTGCAGGCTGGCCTCTTCCACGGCAATGAGACGCTGTGCAAGACGGTGTCCAGCTCCGAGGTGAGCGTGTGCTCGGAGCCCGTGTGGAAGCAGAGGCTGGAGTTTGACATCAACGTCTGCGACCTGCCGCGCATGGCCCGGCTCTGCTTTGCGCTCTACGCCGTGATCGAGAAGGCCAAGAAGGCTCGCTCCACCAAGAAGAAGTCCAAGAAGGCGGTGGGTGGGGCCTGCGGGAGGCTGGGGAGTCCGCGCACCCCAGTCCTGGACCCCCAAGTCCGGCCTTGCTGGGGCCTCCAGGCCCCACCCTGGGGCGGCCCTGGGGCGGGGTCTGTGAGCAGAGCCAAGGGCTCTCTGGGCCTGGCCTTGGCCCTGGGGGGGCCGCAGCCGCCTGTGCGGAAAGGACAACGCTCGGCTCAGGGGAGGGAGCGGCTGAGGCGGCGGACAGGAGTCCCCACGCCCCGTGTGACTGACCCTCCAGCCGTGCTGACTCACCCCTGGCTGAGCTGGCAGGCCTTCTGGGCCCTGTGGCGGGTCCTCGGGGAGCCAGGCAGGGCGCCCCCAGGAGCCGAAGGGCGCTGAGCCGGAGGGGCGGATGCTGTGGCCGCCGCGCTGGGGGTCTGGGCCCAGCCCGCAGAGAGCGTGCAGGCTCCGCGGTGCTGCTCTGACGGGGCCGCTCCTTCCCAGGACTGCCCCATCGCCTGGGCCAACCTCATGCTGTTTGACTACAAGGACCAGCTCAAGACAGGGGAGCGCTGCCTCTACATGTGGCCCTCGGTGCCAGGTCAGCCCACGCCCCAGGGGGCGGCGTGGGGAGCGGCCCGGGTGTGGTGGCCTCCCTGTGCGATGCCATCTGTCCCTGTGTCCAGACGAGAAAGGGGAGCTGCTGAACCCCACAGGAACCGTGAGGAGTAACCCCAACACTGAGAGCGCGGCCGCCCTGGTCATCTGTCTCCCCGAGGTGGCCCCCCACCCTGTGTACTACCCTGCCCTGGACAAGGTCAGTGAAGGCCCCCCTGGCCCCCGGGGTCCAGGGTCCACCCTGGCCGGAGGCTGTGGGACTACAGTGAACTGGCCCAGCAGGCCCTTTCTCTGGTGCCACCCCAGCATGGTCTCCATACCCTGTGAAGCCCAGGGCTGGGAGCTAGGGCACCCCACACAGTGGGGGACCTTCTTGACTCTAGAGAATCTTCATGTGCCCTCGGGGGGTGGTTCTCAACCAGAGGGCACTGAGGCCCCAGGGAATTCTGGGCAGTCAAGCAGTTATACTGACTGACCCCCATGGAGAGGCCAGAGATGCACTAACTGCCCCACATCACAGGGGCAGCCCCTGCCACTGACAGTTGCTGGCCTTCCCCTGGGGCGCTGGGGCTGACCTGGCCCCGGCCCCCCTCAGAGCAGCCCCTCCTGTTGCAGATCCTGGAGGTGGGCCGGCACGGGGAACACGGGCGCTTCACGGAGGAGGAGGTGAGCTGGGGGCCGTGGACGGCGGGGTGCAGACCCGGGTGCCAGCCCTCACCCCACCTGCACCCTTCAGCAGCTGCAGCTGCGGGAGATCCTGGAGCGGCGGGGGTCCGGGGAGCTGTACGAGCACGAGAAGGACCTGGTGTGGAAGATGCGGCACGAGGTCCAGGAGCACTTCCCCGAGGCGCTGGCCCGGCTGCTGCTGGTCACCAAGTGGAACAAGCACGAGGACGTGGCTCAGGTGAGTGGGGAGATGCCAGGGTCGGGGGCCAGGCCTGGTCAGCCGTGCCCTGACCGTCAGCTTCCCCCAGATGCTCTGCCTGCTGTGCACCTGGCCCGAGCTGCCGGTCCTGAGCGCCCTGGAGCTGCTGGACTTCAGCTTCCCTGACCGCCACGTCTGCAACTTCGCCATCAAGTCCCTGCGGAAACTGACGTGAGCCCCTCTGGCGCCCTGCACGGGGGAGGGGCCTGGCCTGACTTAGGATGCCAGGCATGAGGGGACTGACTCTCCTGGGGGCCTGCGGGGATGAGGCTGCCTCTCGCTCTGCTGCCCCCCACTCCAGACCCCAGTCCTGACCCTAGCCCTGGCCGGCTCCCTTCCCTGCAGGGATGACGAACTGTTCCAGTACCTGCTGCAGCTGGTGCAGGTGCTCAAGTATGAGTCCTACCTCGACTGCGAACTGACCAAGTTCTTGCTGGACCGGGCCCTGGCCAACCGCAAGATTGGCCACTTCTTCTTCTGGCACCTTCGGTAGCTGGACTCAGCCGCCCCCGCCCACCTCTCCCTAGAAGGCCATCGGGGGAGGGGCCTCCTCTCGCTGGGTTCAGCCCCCACCAATCCCTCCCCACCCCGGGCCTGGCTCAGCCCTGTCCTCCTTCCTCCAGCTCTGAGATGCACGTGCCGTCCGTGGCCCTGCGCTTCGGCCTCATCATGGAGGCCTACTGCCGGGGCAGCACCCACCACATGAAGGTGCTGATGAAGCAGGTGAGGCTTGGGGCAGGCAGGGTGGGCCCGGCCCCCTGAGGGCCCCCAGGGCCTGGCTGAATCTGAGAGCCATCCCTCCCGGCCTGCCCACCTTCCATCCTGTCCTCCTGGCCAGGGGGAAGCACTGAACAAACTGAAGGCCCTCAATGACTTCGTCAAAGTGAGCTCCCAGAAGACCACCAAGCCCCAGACCAAGGAGCTGATGCACCTGTGCATGCGCCAGGAGCCCTACCTGGAGGCGCTCTCTCACCTGCAGTCCCCCCTCGACCCCAGCACCCAGCTGGCTGAAGTCTGGTGAGCCTGAGCCCACGCCTGGGAGGGCCCTTGTGCCCCACAGCCCCCCGCGGGGCCCGCTGACCGCTGTCTGGCCCGGCAGTGTGGAGCAGTGCACGTTCATGGACTCCAAGATGAAGCCGCTGTGGGTCATGTACAGCAACGAGGAGGCAGGCAGCGATGGCAGCGTGGGCATCATCTTCAAGAATGGGGATGGTAAGCGGGTGGGGTGGGGGCCAGACAGCCTGCTGTGCCCTGGCCCCCCCCACAGGGTGCACTGCCCTGGGGGAGCCGGCAGGCCAGCTGAGGGGAAGGCAGTGCTGGGTGGGGCCGGCCTGGCTGGGACACAGACCCCACTAGCAGACGCTCTTCCTCCCGGCGCCCGCAGACCTCCGCCAGGACATGCTGACTCTGCAAATGATCCAGCTGATGGATGTGCTATGGAAGCAGGAGGGGCTGGACCTGAGGTGAGGGGCCCTGTCACCCCTCGGTGACCTCCCCAAGCCCCACACCCGGCCCTTGGAGGGTTCCCCCATCAAAGCCAACATTTACCCCTCAGCTGGAAGGCTGTGGTGAGGGCCCTGGGCCCGGGGAGGCGGCGGGCCCAGGAGGAGGCAGAGGCCAGCCCCGCTTGCCTGGGCTTTTCTCTTCTAAGCTGTCAGGAACTGGGTGCCGGCTTCCCTCTCCCACCCCCTCCAGGCACCTCCCCGTCCCTGGGCTCCTCCCAGCACCGTCTGTTGCTCTTCGACCCTTGAGGGGCACCTCCTGTGGCTATTTGTGGTCAGGCTGCCCCAGGGACAGCCCTTGAACTTGGTGTCCACCCACCTAGGATGACCCCCTACGGCTGCCTCTCCACCGGGGACCGCACAGGCCTCATCGAGGTGGTGCTGCGCTCGGACACCATCGCCAACATCCAGCTGAACAAGAGCAACATGGCGGCCACGGCCGCCTTCAACAAGGATGCCCTGCTCAACTGGCTCAAGTCCAAGAACCCGGGGTAGGTTTCGGGTCCTGGGGAGAGACGCTTCTCCTTTCCAGAAGGTGCAGTTTGGGGCTCCGAGGGAGGGGAGGGCCTGGGGAGTCTCCATGCATCTCCGCTCAGCTAAGGACCGGCCCCTCTCGTGGGCCCGGCCCTGTCACGGGATGACAGCCTTAGGCCCCTGGACAGCCGCCGCCCGCCCTTGGCTCACGCAGCTGAGTGGACGCCGCTCGGCGGTTCTTCCGCCAGAATCCCGCAGCTGCACGGGCCTGGCGGCCCAAGATGGCCGTCGGCCTCCCGCCCCGTGGAGTAGACCAGGCCCCACGGGGGGAGGGAGGGACTATGAGGTTTTCAGGCCTGGGCTCCGGGCCTAGCCCGCCGCCTTCCTCCACGTGCCCGGTGCTCTGTGGGGTCTGAGCGAGTCACGAGGCCGATTCCCAGGGCGGGACAGGGACCTCAGCTCTTATAGACGGAGCTGCAGAGCTGCGTGGCCATGCCCCCCCCCCCATCCCCAGGGAGGCCCTGGACCGAGCCATCGAGGAGTTCACCCTCTCCTGCGCCGGCTACTGTGTGGCCACCTACGTGCTGGGCATCGGCGACCGGCACAGCGACAACATCATGATCCGCGAGAACGGGCAGGTAGGGGCCCCCCCGCCCCGCCCCAGCCCCGCGGCCCCCAGGATCCAGGCCTCCGCCCGACGCCTCCGTCTGTCCTCCCTTAGCTGTTCCACATCGATTTCGGCCACTTTCTGGGCAATTTCAAGACGAAGTTTGGAATCAACCGCGAGCGCGTCCCGTTCATCCTCACCTACGACTTCGTCCACGTGATCCAGCAGGGCAAGACGAGCAACAGTGAGAAATTCGAGAGGTGAGGGTGCTCGGACCCCGGGAGCCCCCTCCCTGTGCCTGGGGCCCCAGCGGGGTGCTGGGCTGGGACTCAGCTCCGTCCACCCTGGAGGGGCGCGGGCAGCAGGTTTGTGGGTCCCCCAGAAGGGGCGGCCCGGGGTGAGGGGGGCTGAGTGGACCCACAGCCCTACCCCCCCGGCTCCCTGGCAGGTTCCGGGGCTACTGCGAACGAGCCTACACCATCCTGCGGCGCCACGGCCTGCTCTTCCTCCACCTCTTCGCCCTGATGCGGGCGGCAGGCCTGCCCGAGCTCAGCTGCTCCAAAGACATCCAGTATCTCAAGGTAAAGCTCAGGCCAGAGCCCGCCAGTCAGGGACCCCAAGGCCTCTCCCGGGCTCCCCCCACCCAGTGTGGGTGAACCCCAGGGGCATGCCCACATCGTGCAGCTCACACGGCCCCAGGACCAGCAGTGGGGGCTGCAGGCACACAGCTGGAGTGCACCCCGGTTCTGCCGCGGGGGCGCTGGGACCTCCGTGGAGCCCACCCGCTACCTCTACCGACTGCCGCGGTTTCCTCCTGGACACAGGAGGGCGGGACTCGGTGCCCAGCCTGCTAATAAACATTTTTCTGTTTTGCAGCTGGTGAGAAGCCCAGGATGGGGGGGTGGGAGGGCTTGACCCCCAGCCCCAGCCAGGTGTTGTCTTTGGGGACCAGGACCCCAAATGGAGCTGCTCCTCCTGCAGGTTTCCGGCAGAGAAGGGGAGGCCACCCGCCACCCCTGGGGCTCAGGGGCCAAGAGGTCCTGGCACGAGCTGGTCTTTTCCCGAGAGCGGGTCAGGGGCTGTCTCGGCTTGGGGTCAGCGCCAAGAGTCCTGCAAGGGACATGTCCACTCCCTTCACTCGCTTCCTCGAGGAGGGACGGGAAAGTCCCCAAGGGGGCAGAAGGGAAGCTTTCCGGAGCTGGGCCGCTCTGCGGGCTCACGGCTTGGATGGTTTTGCCCCAGGACTCCCTGGCGCTGGGCAAGACGGAGGAGGAGGCGCTGAAGCACTTCCGGGTGAAGTTCAACGAAGCCCTGCGGGAAAGCTGGAAGACCAAAGTGAACTGGCTGGCCCACAACGTGTCCAAGGACAACCGGCAGTAGCACCCCGCAGCCCGGCTGGGCCTGTGAACCCGGGAACCAGGCACCCTCGCCCTTCGGGGCCCAAAACCTGAACTGCGCCCCACGGGGAAGAACTTACACAACCGCCTTTTGTTTACACTGGTTATTTATTTATGACTTGAAATGTTTCAGGAACTCAACAGCCATATTCAGAAACGCATCCTCCTGCAGGGGAGGGGTGCCGCTCCAGCGCCCCCCCATAGCAGACTCGGGGGCGGACGAGAGATGGGCACCCCAAGGTTGCATCTTGCTGAGGACTATAACCCCAAGTCTTCCAGCGGGTGGCTCTGGACCCAGGCAAGACGACGCTCGCCATCGGGGAGACCGCCTTCTCGCCCAGACCCCACGGGCCGCCTGGGCCCTGGCGCCTGCTGTCCCCCGGGACGGGACACGCACCTCTTCCGTTCACCCCTCCATCTCCGAGTCCCCACTGACTGAGTTCTGGGCAGCTCCCCGGGAAGCATGGTGCCCTCCTGAATGGGGGGCGTCCACTTGCCACTTTTGAAGTGACTCACGGGTACGGGCATTCATCTCTGCTGCAAAGCAATTTCGTTTGCGGGTAAGAAAACCGTGGCCAAACTACTTCCTGAACCTCCGTGGTTCAGGAGAACGGCCCCGGTCCCTATGAAGCATAATATATGGTGGTCCTCAAGACACATTAAAGAGCGTGACGGAGCTCATCTGAGTCACGGTCACGGCAAAAGCAGGGCAGAGTCCTTTGTGCAATTACGATCGGCTGCCTCTCCCAGCAGGCTGGGGGGGGCCCTTGAGAACCTGCCGTGTCATCACCTGGGGTGCAGTGGACTGTTTTCTCGGGTGGTTCTCAGCTGGCTCAGGCTTAGCCTTAGCTCTCCTAGTTCCCTGGGTCTGAGGAGCCCAAAATGCAGGTTCCCAGGCCTCTCCCTACCATCTGGCGCCAATGGGGCTGGAAATCTGGGCCTGGAGGCACCCATGGTGGCCGCCAGGGTCTCCCCACTGTGCTCACACCCACTGCCGGGCTCAGCGGACCCACGCGGAGCCACTGCACGGCTCAGGTGCACGGCCTCCGACAGAGACAAAATCCCCGGGGCTTGGGGTGAGGGGACGAGGCACCTCCAGTGCCCCCACAGAGCAGCCCCACCCCACGGGTACCAATGATGTGCTGCGCCCATCGGTGCCACCTCGCCTGCTCCAAATGGGAGACGCCGAGCACAGCTGTCCACCGCTGCTCATTGACGTGAGTCCCAGTGTGGACGGCCCTTTGTGCCCTCAGAGCACTGGCGAGGGGGTGCAGCCTAGGTCCCTGGTGGGGGGAAGAGTATTTGCTAACGTTTTAATCACGGGGCTGTTCCTGACACGGGGAAGGTGAGCTCTGGGGGGACACAGATTGACTGGCTTTTGGGAACCCGACGTGACAGGTGACAGCGGTGAGAAGAATAAAAGCCTCTTCATGGAACATTCTCGGCTCCCAAGGAGACAAGGGGATGCAGGATTAGTACAAAAACAAGACAAAACAGCACAGACCCCGGTGGAGTTAGAACCAGAGCTTTATTGTGCACACGCCGGTGCTCCCAGCCCCGCCAGGCCCGGCCCGCGCCAGCCTCTACCCACGGTCTACACAGCAGCTACAGGGACAGGACACGAGGACGCCACACACCACACAGGACAGCCGGCGGCGGCGGCCTCGGAACTAGCAGTTATGATCACAGAACAGTATCCAAATGGCTCCCTTTCGTTTTAGAAAATCTAGAATTTTACACGAATTGAGGAGTGCTGCGGGGGCTCTGCTCGGGCTGCCCTTCCCTCCCCCGCCGGTGTGGCTTGACCCGAGGTGGCCGGTGTGGCCCACGGGGGCTCCGGGGGCGCTTGGCCTTGGGCGCTGACCGTGCTGTCAGCGTCTGTGCGGGTCACTCGGGCCGCGCCGACTCCCCACCAAGGGCCGGGCTGCCTGCACTGCCGAGTCAGCGGGCTCCTGTGTCCTCCTGTGTCCTCTCGCCAGCAAGGACACGCCGTCCCAGGCCCGGGCCCCGAGGCTGCAGCCCCCGGGAGCGTGAGAGGCCAGGGAGCCCAGCGCTCCCTCCCGCCGCCCAGCCAGCCAAGGGCAGAACCCCGAGAGAAAGCCTGGCTGTGCTCGGCCCCAAGAGGGGTCCCTGATGCAGTTCCCTCCTACGCCGACTGCCCTGGTCACACCCGGGGCAGTGGCCTGAGGCCGGGAGCGCCAAGGGGGCCGGCCTGCTCCTTGGGGGAGCAGCGGGGTGGAGTGGGGAAGCAGGGGCCTGGGGTCTCTCCTGCCCTCAGTGTCGCCAACTTCACTTTGATTCCAGTCCTGGATTACACTAGCACGAAGGACACGAGGAACCCCAATTTATTTACAAAATATTAAAAAGTCAGTTTATCATCTACATATTAACCCCCATTCTGCCGTTTTGTACATGCACTAGTTTGGAAAAAATAAAAACTTTAAAAAAAAAGAAAACGGGGCGGGGGGAGGTGGCCATTCTGACCCTTCGTCACCAGGTCCAGTCATTGCAGCTTTCCTGGAGGTGCGAGGGGCCTGCGTGGAGCGGGGTGACCAGAGGGGGGGGGCGCTCCTCATAACTTAACGGTGGGGGCGGAGCGGGGTGCACACGAGCAGGGGCGGGCGGGCGGTGCGGGGAGGGGTCTGCAGACCTACTGGCCGGAAGGACTTTGTACATCGTGGACCCTGGGGGCTGGCGGGACACGCGCCGCCGGAGTCCTCGGACGCGGGGGGCGCAGGCGGCGGGGGGCTCAGTAGCTGAGGGTGGAGTCGTCCCATTCCAGCTGCTGCGGCCGGGCCCCCTTCTGCGGGCGCCCGTGCTCGCCCTCCTCCTCCTCGCTGCTCTCCGACTCGGCGCTGGTGATGTCGTCCTCCTCCTCGCCGTCCTCGCTCTCCTGCTCCTCCTCCTCCTCCTCCTCGCTGCTGTGCTGGTCCTCGTACGTCTGCCGGGAGACGGCGCCTGAGCCGGGCCACCCCTGCTCCCGGCCCCGCGTCGCCACCCACGGTGAGACGGAGACTCCGGGCCCCCTCGAGAGCGCGTCCACACGCAGCCCATGATGTGACCTCGAACCAGGCCTCGGGGGCCTCCGCTTCCCCCCGCGTGGGTGACGCGGCACGGGCCGCGCGGCGAGGCCCGGCGTGGGCCCAGGGGCCGGCGCCCACACCCACCTCCATGGGGTTCACGGTGATGGTCAAGGCGGAGTCGTCCCAGTCCATCTCGTTCTCCTTGCCGGCGTCCTGGTCCCGCAGGGTGCGCTGGTGCGCGGCCCGGATCCGGAACACCCCCAGGATGATCATGAAGACCAGGAAGCTGACGCACACCACGATCACCACGGTGGCCGTGCTGGGGACGACTGCGGGGGGGGCAGGCGACGGCCGTGAGGGCGGCCCAGGGGCCCACATCCCCACCGTGTTCCGTGGGACCATGAGAACAGGGAGAGTGGATGGAGCCGCAGAGCCTGCGGGGGGGTCCCCATCCTACCTGCAAAGGGGTGCGGGTTGGCCAGGTTGTGCCCCGACAGGTCGACGAAGGAGCGGTGCTCGGGGTGCACGAACTGCGGCTGGGCGGCCATGTGGTTGGCATGCTCCACGGGGTTGGCGGTGTGGATCACGTTCACCTGGGCATAGGGACGGGAGCGCGGGAGCCTGGGGTGAGCGACACCCCTGCACGGCGGGGAGCTGGGGGGCCGCACTTCACGGGCACCGGGGAGCAGAACAGGGCAGCGGATCATGGACAGTGGCCGCGCGGGGCCGTCAGGCACCCAAGAGCTCCTCCCTGGTCTAATCACTTCTGCTGTGCTTAACAAAAGCATCTGTCCCGAGCAGAAAGGAAAACACCAAAGCCGGAAGCCATACTGGGCATCGGAGAAGCACCACCTGCAGCACAGCCACTCCTCATGGCCCCAAACCACAGCCACATGGAGAAACAAGCTCGCCCAGCCGTCCCTTAGCTCCAGGGAAACGCTCCTGGCTTCTCAGCCGCAGAGCCTAGCTTCTGCTGCCCGAGGCTGGGGAGGGTGGGGCCTCCCATCCAGGACAGTCCCCTCGGGTCCACTCCTCCGGGTCACAGAAGCTGAGCGATAAAGGAGCAGCGCCCGGAGGAGTGGGGTCTTCGGAGCAGACACCGCCCAGGGGCTTCCGGGGCCTGAGCCACTGCCGCCAGCTCCGCGCACACAGCTCCACTCAGGCCGTGTCTAGCACAAGACCCCGGCCCTCTCGGTGCTGTTCCTCGCAGAGCTGGGCCAAATTCAAGAAACAACCTGGCCACCCCCGACCCCGGCATCGCCTGCCACCGGCTCTTGACCACCTCCCTCCAAAGGCCCTGGGGCCCCCGACTCTGGGCAGAGGCCCCTGTGAGAGGGGAGCACTGTGCTACATCCCACATCCTGTCCCCCAAAACCTGTTTGGTAGAAGCTGCAGCAGCCCCTGGCGGGCAAAGGCTGCCACCCCAGGCGAGCCTGAAGACTGGCACCTGCAGTGTGAAGCCCGTGAGGGCAGCACAGCCCAGGCTGCTGGCCCTTCTCAGCCCGGCCCGCACTCACCTCCACCTGGAACTCGTTGCTAACGTAGCGGCCATTGAGCTCCGAGCAGACGAGCTTGAACTTCCGGTCCAGCAAGGCCCTGGTGTGCCAGTTCCGGTAGCGCAGGAGGTGTAAGGCCTCCTCGTAGCTGGCCATGGTGTCCACGCCTGCAGGGGTGCACAGAGGACGATGTTGGTGGCTAAAGCTGGACACGGGCAGAGCCAGGGCCGCAAGCAAAGGCGACGCGGCAGCTGCCCAGCTGGCCCGTGCTGGGCCTTCCAGTTGTGAGAACCAACGCAGAGCATGTGCGCGGGTGTGGGGCTGCTTTCCCTCTCGGGGGACATGCGCTCACATACTTAAGCTCTGCCCCTTTATAAGGACGGGGGCCCCTTTCTGAAGCAGCCCCCCTGGCCTGGGAGGACGTGCATAGCCAGCCCCAGTCAGGGCTGCAGGGAGCCTGGTCACTCTGCTTCCCAGCCGCTCCGGGGCCCCTTGGCGTCCTTACGCCAGGCAGGCAGGGGCCCGAGAGGGCACAGTGTCTGCTTCCAGGCTCGGCGGCTCCACAGCCGCGCCCCCACTCACCTGTGAAGATCACACCCAGGTCGGAGCTGCTCACTTCGATGCGCTTCTGCTGCAGGCGGCCCGTGTCCACCTCCAGGCCCTCCTGCTCCGGGTTCAGCTCCTCCCCCTCCACTGTGACCTCGCAGGAGTCCAGGTCGTGCACGATCTCCTCCGACACCAGCGACTCTTGCACTGCGGGAAGGGCCCGGCCAGGAGTCGCAGAGGATGCTGGCCCTGCCCCACCCCACCCCCCGAGCCCTTCCGGGACCAGGTCCGAGGTCGTGCTCCAGGAAGGGAGATTTACGTGCCCCCCAGGAAGGCCTGAGGACGGGGACCCTGGCTTCCCGTGGGCACGAGGCCCGCGCAGTCTCAATCTCAAGCCCTCGAGGTCCGTCTGGACGCCCAGGTCAAGCTAGGAAAAGGGAATAGGCCCTCCAGGTGGGCTTCCGAGATCACGACGGGCCTTGGCCCGGGGGTGCGATTCCGCAAGCAGACCCAAGAGCAGCATGTGAAATTTAAATCCCCCCAACCCCGGAGGAGACGGCTCCGCGAGTCAGCCAGCGGCGGCGGGGTTTCACCCCCTGGTCGCGAGCCCAGGTGCGGGCGACTGCCCAGGCAGAGGAGCTGTTACCTGTGGGGTCCTCGTCCCCATCGCCTTCGGGCTCCACTTCCCTCGTGATGGTGCTGATGATGCGGAGCTCAGGGAAGAGGAAAACCCCCTCCGGACTTTCAAATTCAGACGCCGCTCGAGCGAAATGGTGGACGCCACTCAGGCTGATCTTGGGCTCCTCCGGCTGCAGAACCATCACGTAGCCGTCCAGCGGGGAGACTGCGGCGCAGGGGGCCTCATTGAAGCACCTGCCAACAGGGACAGTGGCGGGAGGGTGGTCAGGGCCCCACACGCCAAGGCACCCAGGGACACAGCCCTCCGGGGAGAGGAGCCCAGATATTACGCCATCCTCTCAGGCCCCTCGCTCAGCCCCTCCGGGAATGGGGGAGGCCAGGCCATCCCCAGCAGCAAAGGCACACATCTTCTCCAGGTCACCAAGCTAAAAACGGGCTTGTTGGGGCCTCCCTGGTGGCACGAGGGGTTAAGACGCAACCTATGAAGCTACCCGCAGCCTCTGCAGCACAAGTTCCATCCCCGACCAACCAGGGAGCAACCCACATGGCGCAGCAGACCTCGCCTGTCTCCCCGCTGCTCCCCTCAGCAGTGGATTTTAGTCAGTCTGCCTGTTCTGCTCCCCACTCTGTCTCTGGGGAATCCTCTCACCCTCCACACCTCTGGCCTGTACCCCAGCTCTTGTATGCATAAATAAATAAATCTTAAAAAAACAAAAACAAAAACAAAACAGGCTTGTTGTTAAAAATCAGCACCTACTTGACCCTGCTGGTGATTTTGAGTCTCCGGATCCCGGGTGTGGGGAACTGGCGTGAGTTCAGGTAGGAAACGTGCTGCATGGCCTTGACCAGCTCCCCAACATCCTCCCCTTCCAAGGTCAGCACCGACTGACCCGGGCTGGCCTGGATCTGAAATTGTGCGTGGGAGAGAGGAGAGGAACAGGGTTTGCACAGCAAGAACATATCGAGGGGCCCAAGGTGGGGTACCATGCCCCCCCAATCCTCGCTCTGGGCGTCTCTTCCACACGCTGTTCTCTTATGGGAAACCAGTCATAGTGAGCAAAATGTTTTACGTAGCTTCGTGAGTAGTTCTAGCAAATTACTAAACCTGAAAGGGAAGAGGACTGTGGGAACCCCAAAATTTGTACCACCGATGTGCAGGTAATCTGAGGGCCCAATTCCTGAAAGTGGCATGCAGAAAGGGGGGCAGCCTCTCAGCTGCGTCCTCAATCCACTGTGTGCCTGGTTCCAGCTCCAAGTCATCTGTAGCAGAACTGAACCGTAGGGCACACGGTGAAGGTGGTGTCCCCAGAGCTGGAGAACTGGCTGGGGTGGGGGAAACCCCTCGTGTTTGTCACATAAAGACAGCGCAGGGCTAATCACAGAAAGCGCAGCCCCAGCCGGTGGAAGTGGGGTTACCTTCACGCCCCCGCCGCTGTCCTCGGGGAGCTGCAGGTCCAGCCCCTCTTTGCAGGTGTACAGACAGTCGATCACCTTCTTATCCGCCAGCTTCCCGGAACGGATCGTCAGGCCAGCCAGGTTCCCTCGGAAAAACTGGGTCATGCGCAGGTCCCCACCTGGAGCGCGGCGGGAGGGGGGAGGTTACGCGCGCAGCGGGCGCCTGGGCGCTCCTCAACGCGGTGTTACTGGTGGAAGCTGGATGGATGGACATGCGGGTTAGTCAGACCAAGTCCCGTTAGCCTGCGAGCTACGTGGAAGCGCGGTGAAGGAATTAGGTCGTTCATGGTCATGCACGTGGTCTGCGGAGGGTCCGCGACGCCCCACACAGCAGCCAGCCCTCCGGTGGCCCCACACACCGTTGCCACGGCTTACAGTGACGCTTCCCAACCCCCCCCAGCCCCTGCCTGTCTAGAAACTTGGGGCGAGCCCCCCCCACACATGCCTCGGGAGATAAAGTAGCGTTTCCATCCGCCCCGAGCCAGAAGCCCAGGGTCGAGGCCTCTGGGTCTGTGCCCTGCGACGAAGGGAGGATTTACTAGGAAAACGGGCTCAGAGCGTGGCCCCTGACGGACTAGCACAGAGCCAAGCCAGGTGAAAGGGAGCCTGTTTTCTGGCTGATGGCGGAGAGACCAGTTCGGGGCAGCAGCGCGCCTCACGAGGCCGTCCCTGGGGGCGGAGGTCTCTAGGAATCGTAACGTTGAGTGCCCCTCCGCACAGACTTCCGAGAATGGGTCTTTCCTGTCTCGGGGTACAGACCCCACCTGGCCGGGAAGTGTCAAGGAGGGCACCCCATGCAGTGGTCGGGTGGATGGGATGAGACAAACAGCAGCCCCCAGTGCATGGCAATCACCAGGCCGCGCCCTCACTTCAACTGGGGTCGGGGTGGGCGGGACGGGGGTCCATGAAGCAATGGGAAGCAGAATGCAAAGCGGCAGCTCCAATGGTGTCTGGGACCAAAAGGCAACTTGGACATTTCATGCGAAATGTGGAATGAATGGATGTCTCGTTTTTTAAATGAACACAACCGTGAGGGGGGGGGATCCAGCCACCTGCAGGGGCCACAGGCGCGGGCTCGGTCTCATTGTCACTTTCAACTCCTGAATACTCTGCAGAAAAGCAAGACAGAGACAATAGGAGAGGACCGAGAGGTTAGGCTCGTCAGACTCAGCCTGGAACGTCAGTTTCGAGAAGCTGCCAAACACAAAACACAGAGCGAGATCCCCCTCATGTCGTTCTTGGGGACACACCCCACCCGGACCCAGAGGCACAATCATCTTCCGGGGCGCTATTTACACTCCCCCCCCGGCCCAGCTGCTCTTTTCACCACCTCTCCCCGCACCCTCCCGCCAGCACATGGGCTGGATCCAGCCTCACACGGACGAACAGGCACCGTGTGGACTCTCCCGTGTCTCCGCCTGTGCTGCGGAGCTGGGGTCCGAGGCTGCTGGCCATGGCCTCGGCCCAGCCGGGCAGAACCAGCAGCCGCATCATCCAACAGCGGTTCAAGGCGCAGGCAGAGGATGGAGGGGCTCCGGGACCGTGGAGGGGGGCACGGGAGAGCTGGTGGTGGGCACGGTGACCACATCTGAAGACGTGGGAGCCTCCACCCCGTAAGTCACACACACAGTTGGGAGCCAGTTACCTCAGTTCAAAGAAATTCAGCAAATCAAAGTGTGTGTATTTTTTGAAAGCTTGACCCAGGTGCACCTCGCTCTAGGCTTTAACCCCTGAGTAACAGAGTAAAGAAGAGTAAAGAAGGCATTTTAACCACTTTTCCTGAGCGGGAAGGGAGAGTCAGAGCGTTAGGAACTCTCCGGAGGACTCGAACCCTGGCTAGCACCAGTGTCCTCAGAACAGGCCGCGGAGGCTCACCCCGGGCTCCGGGCCAGGTGAGTCTCATCCTGGGGGTGGGGCGGGGAGGCTGCATCTCCCTCACAGCCGGCGCCTGCCGTGCCAAGCCACAAGGGGGCGCCGGGGCTGCAGCCAGGGGGCACAGGTGAGGCCAGAGCACCTGGGAGCCTGGGAAGCCTCCTCTGGCTGGATGGACAGGCTGGTGGGGGCTGCGGCTGTAGCCCAGACTCCCGCTGCACGCACAAGGGAAGCGCTGACAAACCCACCGAAAGGAAGCTGCTGGGAGAGCATCCTCTCCGCTAGCGAGAGATCTTTACCACTTTGTGTCTGTTCAGTGTGGGGACTTAAGTGGATTTTTCTGGACGAGGCTGAGCGGGCTGAGGTAGAAAGGATGAGAAGGTGCCTGAGATGGTCCAGGAGGAGACAGCGAGGTGGGCGGGAAACGAGAGGTGGGGCATTTTAATCCAAGCAACAGAGTCCTCAGGGTCCGAGTAACATTGAGGTTTGCGCTTGTATTTCTGTTCTTAATTTTTAGGTCATTACTCAGAAATTGCTGTTTAATTCGGGAAGCAAATTTGAACTGAAATTTCAAGAATAGCAAGTAAAAAATTCCTATAAGCCCAGTGACTTAAGTCCTCAGGCTCTGTTTCCACTTCTCACGGGTAAAAGGTCACCAAAATTAAATATGGGAATCAGGGGCCTCCCTGATGGCCTAGGGGTTAAGTCTTAGCACTACCACCTCTACAGTCTGAGTTCGGTCCCTGGCCAGGGAGCTACCCACACGACGCAGCAGACCTCTCTCCTGCCTCGCCCGCTGCTCCCCTCAGCAGTGTATTTCAGTCCATCCGCCTGTTCTGCTCCCCACTCTGTCTCTGGTGAATCCTCTCACCCACCCCCTCAACACCTCTGGCCTACACCCCAGTTCCTCTAGGCATAAATAAATAAATCTTGGGGAAAAAATAAAAATTTTTAAAAATTTGGGAATCAGGTGAGGAGGTTTAGACTAAATATCGTCTGATTCCGTCTCACCGGAAGGGACCCAGAATGAGTGCCAAAACTCAAGTTCTCCTAGAATAAGCAAAGCTGTCCTGGGAAGCAGGCGCTTTTATAAACTTCCAACATAACTCAAGGTACAATGTTTCCACAGGGAGAAAAGCAAACCCCAGGGGCGCTCTGAGCAGGTCCGCACAGACGGCAGCTTGGTGGATCCTGAGGGCAGGAGCAGGGTGACCCTTAAGGGTAGACAGAGGGGCCTCAAGGCCTCGCACTGGATGGGGGTGTCCCTGCTGATTTCCACACGACTCTCAAAATCAGCCTCTCCCCAGCTGCAAAGGTCAGCCGCACACCCCCGGGGCAGCCTCGGCAACTGCACCTTTGTCACCAGTTGACTCTTCGATTTTTGGCCATGACTGCGAGCGGCCGTCAGCCCCACCCGTTGCCTCGCTTACCCTGAGACCACGGCCCGCTGCGCCTGCTGCTGAAACCTGCTCTGCATGAGCTAACGGAGCAGCCGGGTGTCTCTACGCCCCACACCAGCCCGGCCGTGCTCTGGTGGCTGGGTTCGCCTCGTCACCTTTGAGATCCTATGTATCTTATTACTAGAGGATTGACTATCCCGAGATGGGGTTCGCAGGCCCCAGCAGATCACCCCAGGCCTCAGAGAACCCTGATCCAGTGGGGACAGAGCTCGGGTTCCGCATGCACGGGCTTCAGGGGTTCAAACCCCAGACCATGGGAAACCCCGTGATTCTGAGCCTCAGTGTCTTCAGCAGTAAGACAGGGATAAAATGACCCCCTCCTCGAGTCATCATCGCAGGGACTAGCAAGGCAAGCCCACGGGGTGGCCCCTCACACCCCACCTCATCTCTGCGGAGGCACCCATGGCCGCAGCCCTCTCCCCGCAGGAGGTCAGGGCTGGCCCTGGGACAGCTTCCCCGGCTCAAGCTCACACGCTCAGGGGTCTGTGTGCTTCTTTGTCCTTTCCTGTTCCTGGGAAAATAAAATGATCCCCCATCACACCCTAGCTCCGTGCAGGAAACTGAGCACCCACAAACAGAGCTAAAGGAGTGTCCCCAAAGAGGCTCTGCCCAGGACAAGGGCAGATGTAGGAAATGAAGGCACACGGCGTGAGACACGGAGGGGAGACAGAGCGCCCACGCCACCCCCACAGCAGGGGGGTGCAGGACTCCTGAGACCTGGGGGAGGGAGCAGGGTTACCTTGCCAGCAAGCCCCCACCACGAGCTGAGTGTCTATCCTGGACGGGTGAAGCGGGTAGTCTTCAGTCACGGAGAAGGGCTCGTGAGCAGCGCCGTCCACGTACAGAGTCACGCTCGGGAGCTCCACGTTGAGCACGTAGTGATGCCACTCCTCGTCACACACCTGCCGGAGGCCGGGTGCATGAGAAGCCACCGCCTGTGTCCCGGGGGCGAGTCGCCCATCACACACAGCTGTCTTCTGGAGAGGGAGAGTGTGACCACACACCTCCCCTCGCCCCCTGGGACTACATCGCCCAGCCGGGGCCACGGCCACACCGCCGACCCTGGGACACTGCTGGTGGGTGCCTGCTCTCTCGTCCCGTGACCATATGAGACTGCAGGAAACCTGAATACCCACTGGGTATCAAGGATATCAAGGAATTGTGGCTAATTTTACAAAAGGCATGGAAATAGGGGGCCTCCCTGGTGGCACAAGGGGTTAAGCCTCAGCGCTATCAGGCTATGGCCAGCCACTGCAGCATGAGTTCGAGCCCCAGTCAGAGAGCTGACCACACGGCGCAGCAGACCTCTCCTGACTCCCCGCTGCTCCCCTCAGCAGTGTGTTTCAGCAGATTGGCCTGTTCTGCTCCCCACTCTGTCTCTGGTGAGTCCTCTCACCCCCTGCACCTCTGACCGGCACCCCAGCTCTTATGTGCATAAATAAATAAATCTTAAAAAAAAAAAAAGGACAGGGACATAGTATAAGGGTCAGATTTCTATGTATCTCTACAAAGTGGAAAGCTGTATCTGGAATTTGCTTAAAATGTATCGAGTAGTTTTCCAAGGGGTAACAAAATTAGCAGGTAGGGGCTGGGGGTGATGGACCAAGACTCAGAGCTGGGAACTGCTGGAACAAGACCAAGTAACTTGGGGCTATTCGTCACCCAGATCTGTCTACTTATACCTATGTCTGAGATTTTCCGTAACAGTCTTAAAAATGCATCAGAAGAAACGAAATAGAGCAAGTCCTCGAATAATGTCATTCTGTGAAAAAGTAGGTAAGAAAGACGTAGTCTCAGCCAACAGCGAACAAGATGGCGTCACTCGAGGATCATTTTTTTCTTGCTTTGAACTTACATGAACATGAATGAAACTGTATATAGACTCACGTAAGTTTTTTTTTATTAAGTTTTTTTTTTCTAATAGAGGCATGTTTTATGTATTTATTTGTTTGTTTGTTTATACAAGCACTGGGCACAGTCAGAAGCGCGGGAGGGTGAGAGAATTCACCAGAGCCAGAGCGGGGAGCAGAGCAGGCAGAAGGACCGAAGTACACTGCTGAGGGGAGCAGCGGGCGGCAGGAGAGGTCTGCACGCCATGTGGGACCTCTCCCGGTGGCCGGGGAGGAGCCGGGGATCGAACCGGCACTGCAGAGGCTGCGGGCAGCTTCGCAACCCCGCGCTCAACCGCTGCGCCACCAGGGAGGCACTTCTTTAGTTTCTTGACAATAATCATGGTAAGCATTTCTAAGCTAGGACAGATCTATGTAAGAATTACATCACTTATTGGGGCCTCCCCAGTGGCGCGGTGGGTTGAACGCAGCGCTGTGAAGCTGTCCGCAGCCTCTGCAGCACGGGTTCAATTTCTGGCCAGCCAGGGAGATACCCACATGGCGCAGCAGACCTCTCCTGTCTCGCCTGCCGCTCCCCTCACCAGTATTTTCGGTCCGCCTGCCTGTTCTGCTTCCCACTCTGTTTCTGGTGAATTCTCTCACCCTACCATGCCTCTGACCTATACCCCAGCTCTTGTATAAATAAATAAATCTTAAAAAAAAAAAAAAGAATTACCTCAGTTAGGAGACAATGGCCCCCAGTGGACTCACATTCCACATACTTTTCCCCTCTCTCACTTTTGCTCTTACACATCTGTCCCGTAACTAACTGTCTGAGACAAGCTTACGCTTTAGCAACGACAAGCATCTGTGTCAGCTCTGGGCCAGTAACACCACGAGACAAATAAAATTAAATTAAGGCCAAAGTTTTCCTTTTTGCCCCAACCCTAAATCAAGAGAAGAAACAATCTTTGTGTGGGAAGGCTCCCTCGGCTTACAACACTGCCTTGCTTCCTGTAACACGCTGAATTTTTCATGGGATTCTTGCTTTTCATCATAGCAGCTGGGAAATCAGCTCAGCAAAGACACGGCCTCATCCACAGCAATAAAACATGAGCTAACGTCAAAGCTGTCAGCGCACTCAAGCTAGAACCCCGTGTGGTATCTGAAATATGTCAAGAACGCTGATGGCTTGAACATTTACAATATCCCGTGGTGCCTCTGAATTTGCAGAGACACCCTGGGGTTCCCTGGCACAATCCGGGAGCCAAAGCCTTAAATAATAAATAAACAAGTACGTGTTTCTCAGCTCCAGTTTTTAAGCAAATGCTGCTTATTTCATGAATTTTTACACTACTTTGAACACGAGCCATACAGTTTCTTTTTATTAACATTATGTATCAGATACATATTTTTTTTAAAAAAGCAACGTAGGCTTTCCCAAGAAAGGAATTCAATGGATTTAACAGACTGCCCTATTCCCCAGAGACACAGAAATAAAATCGAAGATGTCACTGCCCGTGAACAGCAGCTCCCATGCCAGGCGGCCGGACTCGGTTACTCTCCGACAAGACCCCCATCAGCGAGTTTCCCACTCACCTGATTCAACTTCCAGTGGAATTCCGCTGGCTTGTATTTCTTCTCCTCCGAAGGATCCTGGCGGAGGAGGAAAACAAGCCGGCAGCCGTGGATGTACAAAGAATAGTGATGCCTGTTCATATCTGCAGAGAGAAATTCTGCTGGTAAACTGCCAACTTAAGACCCAAAGGAGAGGTAAGAGCCATTTCTTTAATGGATTTTGAAGACACAGTTGGATCAGCATAAATGAACCCTCCAGCTGGGTCAAGGCCAGGCTTCAAAACAAAGACACTTGGGCTTTGCCTCTAGAGAGGCGGGAGCCAATCTTGAGTGACCCGTGTGACAAATACCTGAATACCAGGGGGACTCTGGAGGACGCGGCACCCCGGGGAAAAGCACAGGAAAGTGTGTGTCACCGAGCGGCCAGGCTTAGGGGGAGGCCAAGGGCCCTCCTCCAGCGACCCCTGCACACCCATAGGTGCCCACCTGTCTTGTCTGAACTGCAGAGAACTGTCTCCTTCTTCCTGCTGAACGGCCCGTGCCTCATCCACACAGAAAGCGTGAAGGGCTCCTTAGGGTTGACAGAAACCACGCCATCCGGAACCCTGCACCGCCTGAGTGCCGTTGAACTCGAAGACCTGGTCGCTATCGTGGCCGTTGCTATCGTGGCCGTGGTCAGCCCGATTCCACCGTGTTGGAAGAGCCGCTGGGAGAGGGGAGCAGCTCGGCGGTGCCAGACGCAGCACCTGGGGCAGAGCACACACCTTCAGCCAGGGCAGTGGGTCCAGCCTTGCGCGGCTGCGCTGCCCGCACTGCTGATAGATCTGCCAGCTCGGCTTCCTTCGCCTCCCAAAGCAGGATTTTTATTACCGAAAGAATTCGTAAAAAATAACCACAGATTTTTTTTTCAAAGGCAGAAAAAGAATCCAAACCTGTAATCCCTACCCAAATACACCCACCATTGGGTCTTTCTTTGTGAAATACACGTATTAGAAACATGGAGCCAGGGCCTCCCTGGTGGCGCAAGGGGTTAAGCTCTGCACTATGAAGCAATTTGCAGCCTCTGCAGCACGAGTTCGATCCCTGGCCAGCCAGGGAGCTACCCACACGGCGCAGCAGACCTCTCCTGACTCCCTGCTTCTCCCCTCAGCAGTGGATTTCAGTCAGTCTGCCTGTTCTGTTCCCCACTCTGTCTCTGGTGAATCCTCTCACCAACCCCCCCCCCCACACCTCTGGCCTGTACCCCAGCTCTTGTACACATAAATAAATAAATCTTTAAAAAAAAAAAAAAGACAGAAAGAAACACGGAGCCAGGCTAGGCAGTCACACAAACACCCACTCCCATTACTATCCTTCTAGAGCATAATTTAAAACGTCGGGTGGCGTGTGACACACAGACCCACCACCACTTACTCAGCGACCCCCCTGGAGGGCACCGGTGTTGCTAATCTTCTCCAATAATCCTCGCCTTGATGAGGCTTTAGTGTCCTCATGATTAATCTCTCACGATACTCCCAGGCAATGGCATCACCAGGTCAAAGAATGTGATCTTTTTTTACAGCTGCTGTCTGTATTGCCAAGCTCAATTTTCTTTTAAATTTGCCCACAGAAGAGCCTGTTTGCCCTCCCAGTCACGTGGTCTGTGACTTCTCTACCCGAGGAGGGACATGGCTTGGCTGGAGCAGCCTGGCATCTGAGAAACGTAAAACTTGGGTCCAAATCCCTGCTCTGCCACTTCCTAAAAGCATGACCTTAGGCAAGCTACTTAGCCTCCCTGGGTCTCGATTAATTCCTCTGTACAATCGAGGTCGATGCCACCTTCAGGCGAGGTGGGAAGGTGGGTGCCACGTGCAGAAATGCCCAGCATCCAGCAAGCACTCAGCCCTGAAGCTCTTTCCTCCCAAGCTACATTTCCTGCTGACAAACTGGTCATTTAAAATCATAAACATATTGGCAGTACTAGAGAGGAAATAAGCTTGATGTGCCCCATGGCTGAAAAGGGCACACGTTCCAGCTCTCAGGCAGGCGATCACGCTCTTTGGCGACCTAGACCTGGGTGATTCCATCACCAGGAGGGGCCAGCAGAGAATGGGCTTCCCCTCGGCTTCCTGACCACAGGACAATCACAATTATGGGAAGAAAAGCAGCCGATCCAGGCCAGGGAGCAGAAAGGTGAGCTTCGGAACACGCTCCCCACAGAGCCGTCGCCCAAGTAGCTCTCAGTCACCAAGTGCCCTTGTGACGATGACAAGGTCACAGGTTGCTGGTGTCTTACCACCGCCTGTGTGTCCCACTGGCCTCTCCCTCATTCAGAGGGACCAGAACAATATCCGGGCCGGATGGCGAAAGCCGCAAGCTGGTCTCCGACGCTGCCCTCCACCTCCCCACGCGGCGCCTGTGATCCAGGGTCTGTCCAGACCCAGGTCCCTTTGGTTTCTCAATTTTCTACTGCATGTCGGCCAAAAGCTACCGCATTTCCTATGTATTTTCCTTCGGTTCTTAAACATCTCATTTCACTTAAAACTCACTCTACTGACGTAAGCCTGACTTTGATGCGTCTCAATGTACACTGGAGAAATGCTTCTTTTAAATCAGAATTTGGTTCTTTTTTTTGTAGATGAGCGGGAGTGAGAGGATTCCCCAGAGACAGAGCGGGGAGCAGAACAGGCAGATCTACTGAAACCCACTGCTGAGGGGAGCAGCGGGGAGACAGCAGAGGTCTGCTGCGCCCTGTGGGTCGGCTCCCTGGCCGGGGATCGCACTCAGGCCATCGCAGTGATAGCGCTGAGACTCACCCCTAGGCCGCCAGGGAGGCCCCAAATCAGCGGTTCTTAAGATGCACACGTGACACTGCAAGCGGACTCGCAGGCCCGTGCCCGAGGGGGCGCCAGCCAGCGGGCAGCAACAGCCACTAAGAGAGCCCGTCTCCGCTGTGGCTTATAACGACGAATACACACACGCATACCCCGCAGGGAGGGGTGTCTCCGCCCCGGCCCCTTACCGCAGAGCCGGTGGAGGGACTTCTCCGAGTAGGTGTCGCGGTCGCAGCCCTTCCCGATGTGCTCGGTCTCCAGCTCCACTGTCGCCTGCACCGAGGCCACGGGCTCGTCACACGTCTCCAGGTGGATGCTGGGGAAGAGGGCCAGGGCGCCCGTGCCCGGCTCGTACTCAACCCTGTTGTTCCATCCTGCAGGGGCACACATGGGGGCGGGAGAAGGAGAAGCCACGTGTCAGGCTTGCGCGGGGGATGGCGAGTTTGGCGGGTGTGAGGGCGGACGGGGCGCACCTTGCCACCCGGGCGTGCAGGCCGGCTTGACGCTGATCTTCACCAGGACGTCCTCCGCGGCCCTCTTCTTCCCGCAGTCGTAGGCGGTGACCATCAGCTTGTACTGGTGCTCCTTCCCGTAGTTCAGCTTCTCTGTGTTCTTTATATAACCTTCGAGAAGAAAAACAGCGGTGAGATCCAGCCCCAGCTGGCATCGCCTTCGTCATGCTGTGCCAAGACGGGAGACACGCTGATCCAGCCGTGTAAAGACGGAAGCAGCACGACCCGTGTGTGTGGCATGACCCATGTGTGGCATGACCCGTGTGCGGCACAACTGGTGTGTGGCATGACCCATGTGCGGCATGACCCGTGTGTGGCACGACCCGTGTGTGGCATGACCCATGTGCCCGGGTAGCGAACACTTGGGGGGTTTGTTTGGGCGGGAGGAGTGAGGCCATAACTCGACTTCCCTTTATTCTTACCAGTTCTGTTTCTGAGGGGGAGGGCGGCTTATATTTATTTTAGGATTCAATGCTTAATATAAAATAGAGACAAAATAATTCAAGTGCTTCAAATCCTAAATATGAGGTCAAGCTGCACTCCATAGTTCGAGAGCTGTTGCCAGCGGCTGGCGTCCCCCAGCACAGAAGGGGCTGCTGCCTCACGCGAGCACAGGTGTCCGCAACGCCCTTATTTCATCAGAAATTGTGGGCTGTGCCCTGGCAGGGGGCGCGGCAGCATCACCGAGGACCTGGCATGAGCCCGCTCTGTTCAGCGACGGGGTGGGGGCGCCTGGTGTTAGGGCAGGAGCCTTCATCTCGGAGGCGACGCGGGAGATGGAATCTAACGGCGAACTGGGAGCGAGACTAACTGGAGGTCGGTCTTCCTCAGTGGGAAGGCGGGACAGCAAAGACTCAAAACAAGCAAAGTGGAGGTTCTTAGTGGGCTCCGGGGGGAGGAGCACGAGGAGAACGTGCGGCCAGCAGGTGCGGGGGAGTGTCCCTCTGGGGGCAGAGAAGCTGCAGCAGTGGGGGAAGCTCCCCCAGTCAGGCCCATTGGGGGCTGGGTGCCTGCGCCACCCTCAGACCCACGCCGAGGTCCAAGCCACACGGGGTGGCGTGAGAGGTGGGGCCTTTGGGGGGGGGACGAATGTTTCAATGAGGCCGTGATGAAGTGCCACGTTGGGACTCTATGCCCTGGATGAGGAGAGCCCAGTGCCTGCTCCCCTGCTGCTGCGTGAGCACGCAGAACAGAGGCTGCCTGGAGCCAGGACGCGCTCACAGACGCGGACTTCCTGCGCTCCGATCTGGGACCTCCAGCCCTCCAGAGACGGCTGCCGTCCAAGCCACCCCGCCCGTGGCGTTCACTCGAGCGACCTGACGGCCTCACAGACGCGGGTCTGGGTGTGGGAGGCACTGAGCGCAGCGAGAGGTGGGGCTGAGCCCAGGGCGCAGCGGCCGCCCAGCCCAGGAAGCACCCGCGGCCTTACCGTCCTTGTCGATGGAGAAGGGCACGTCGGGCGTGACGATCTCGTAGCTGCAGATCTGGCTGAACTGTGGGGAGCAGTCTGCGTCCTCGGCCTCCACCCTCAGGAGGCTGTCGTGCTGCCGCCCCGCCACCGCCGTCGCCTTGTAGGACTTCTCCCGGAACACCGGGGCGAATTCATTCACGTCGGTCACCTGGATGTGCACGGTGGCCCTGCAGGGACAAGCAGGACACTGTGGGCGCTGTGTCCCACGCGGACCCTGACTCTGCCCGGCCTCTGAACGCCCTTTTGCCAACGCCCACCAGTGAAGAGGCTGGGGAATAAACCACAGGACACCCGTGGCCCAGGCGCGAGCGGCGCATCCAGCCGTGGGCGTTGGGTCTGCAGAGGCTGAGCCTTAAGGGGTTCGTGGGCGCTGCTGAGTGAGGAGTGTTGTTCTGCAAACCCGCTGGAGGGTGTGTGCGCACGTGTGGAAGGCCTGAGGAGGTAGTAACTCGGGGATGGAGAAGCGGTTACCATGATGGGACGTTTATAGGGAGGTAATGTATTTGTATAACATTAAAGTTTTTTATTTAAAAGACTTCAATTCACTTTCATTTTAAAAATAAATAAATAGATTTTCTCTTTTCTGATATTTTATGAAATTCAAATGATGGAGATGAAGATGAAACGATGGCCTATTTTCAGCCTAACACGGAGACCCCTGACAGTGAAAACAGGAGTTTGAGCTGCTGCTTCCAGGCCCTCCCTCGGACCAGGGAGACAGCAGGCATAAGCCGCGGTGACAGAAAATAAGAGACTCGGGATTTTCTCTGGCAATATGGGACAGAGCAGGCAGAGGGAAGATGAACTATACCAGACATCTGTTAGTTCTCGAATCATAAAGTCAAAAAAATATTCTGTTGCCAATTCCAGAAAAAAAAAAAATGAGAGCCGGGGGAGATGGGATAAGAAACAGAGATGGCTCCAGGAGTTGATGAGCATTAAAACAAGTTCTGTCCCGCGTCTACGGAAGAGACAGCGGAAGGTTCCCACCCCTGCCGGCGAGGACCTCTCGGTGTGCAGGAAACCAGTAATATCATATGAAAAGCATGAGGGTGACTCACGGGCACACAGCACCCCACTGCTCGCCAAGCCCCCGCACGCCATCCGTCCACCCGGACCCTGGCAGTGAGCTCCTGCGGGGTCTTCTCACCCACCACCCCACCCACGTACCCCTCTTCCCTGAGACGGTACCCCGAGCGGAAAGTGACATGCAGCAGTTAACTTTGCAGCAGCCTGCACCGAGGGACACCGGGAAAAAGGTTTACTTTGCTAAGTCCGTGCTAGCAAGCGGCGGAGAAAGGAGAATTCTAACCCCACGCCTGCCCCCGCGTCCTCCCAGGGACCAGCAGTTCGCCCACCGGCCGGAAGGACGAGGACGCGCCCGTGTTCATCCAACGCTCAGGGCCAAAGACTGAAAAAAGACGCCGTGACAACACAACCTCTTCCTCGGGAGCCACCCGGCTGCTCCACCTTCCTGGGCAGGGTCTCTGCTTCATTAGCCCTGTCCTGGCCGAGATAAACTACTTCTTTCGTTTCCCCCACACCCAATACGCGACGGGCACTTGCTGGTCTCTGATCACAGAGCTCAGGACGATCTCACAGTGGAGGGGACTGTCGGGACCCACGTCCTGCCACATCTGGGCGCCGGGGCAGCGCCCTGCCCGCTGTACTCACTTGTGAGACTTCTTGGTGTTGGCACCGTCGGGGCCCTTCCCGCAGTCGTAGGCCTGCAGCGTGAAGGTGTAGTCCTTCTGCAGCTCGCAGTCCAGCTTCTCTTTGGAGCGAATGATCCCCTCGCCAGTGGACTTGTCCACGACCACGGCCTCGAAGGGGACATTCTGCCCGTGGATTGTAAACCCGCAGATCTCACCTGGGGGGTCAAGCGGCAGGTGAGGGTTTCTGCCACACAAGCCTGCGGCACGTCCCAGCCTCCCCCGCAAAAAAGAAATGACAACGATTTGGCAGCCAGGGGTTTAGAGGGTCCGTGGATAAAGCAGGGGCGCTGTGCTTGAACAGGGTGAGTTCTGGGCTTTAGTGAGAAGAAGCGCGTTCTGGCTTTCCAAGCAACGTGTTTATTAACTTTGCATCCACTCATGCAGGAATACAAAAGAGAGAAAGAGAAAATATAGACAGGCATTTCACAGGAGTACTTAAGAGAGCTCCGGGGCAAACGAGGTCTCATTAGAAAACAGCCAAGGCCTGATAACAGGGAGAAGCTGCCCCAGCAGCTGGGGAGAGCCGGGAGCTGTTTTGATTTGGACCAGAAAGAAGGCTAGAGGCTCAGTTACGTGTTGAGAGAGGCAGCGGCGTGAGCTATAGATTCAGCACCATAATTACAGAAATTCTGTCAAAACAAAATCACAAGAAACAAGTCTTCCTGTGCAATGAGCCTGGCTAAAATTCGGGAATCAAAACAAACTACTAAATGAGAAAGGTAGAAATACCAACTTTTCAGGCATCCATTTCAACAGCTGTCACCCACTCTGCAGGCTCCAGTGCGGGGGGGGGCCCCCCACCCCACACCTTCATCTTTCCTTTGTCCTGCTAGACCTGGGGAGAGACCTGCCTGGGCGCTCCAGCCCACGTGAGTGGGTTTTCTAAACGTGTAAATTAAGAGTTGAAAATCTAGACTTCCAGTCTCACCCGTGGGAGAACAAATATGTTCCGATGTATGTGAAAAAGTCACAAAATGTATCTCGCATAAAAATGAGACAACTCTTCTAAAATGACATAAATCTAATGGAAAACTGCTCCGAAGTAACCCTCAGGTTCAATTAAAAAAGGTGCAGAACGATCCCTAGAGTTCAAATGGATGTCTGATTTCCAGATATTTCTAACCAAGGGTTTGGTTACATACAATTTCCATCAATATCTTTAAAAAATAGAAACAAAGTAGGCGAATCGGGATAAAAAAAGCATGACAGTTTCTTCTGTTTAAGGGCTGATTCCCAATTTTATAAACAAAGTTAGTGGGTTAATATTCGTAAGAGAGAGAGAGAAAGAACCCTTGATCACCTTCTTTGGTGACTGTCACCTCAAAACTCTCTAAAGGGAGAAAAGACAAACCCAAGTCAGTAATACAGGACAGAAGGAAGAGCAACATATCACACAGAAAGCTTGACACGATTCAACCATCGGCCCGGGGAGGCCAGATGCTAGAATCACCAGAGCAAAGCTGGACTCCGGGAACAAAACATCTCTTTGCATCCATCTTACCACGTAATTCAGAAATTCCACTAATCTGCGCATGCGATGCCGCTAGAATGTTTCCTGATACCCCCAGGTGTCCTCTGCACTTCTCATGAACACTTGCATGGTTTAGAGGCAAACCTGTTTGTTATTTTACAGTTTTCAGATTGTCGCTGGCAAGGAGTTTGGAGGCCAGATTCCAGCACTCACTCATTGTTACACTGGAGGCAACAAACACTGAAGAGAAGGACTTAACCCTTTGTTCTTGTGACGATAAAATACTATGTTTCCTAATCTCAAATACCCAAGGGAGGCAACACATGTAGAAACTTCCAGGGGCCACCAGCTTCACAGGGAGTGAACCAGGGTAGGGCCGACTGCAGTGACCGCGGAGTCCAGCCTCAGCCTGTCACCTCGCCTGCTTCCACCAGAGTCGGAACAAGAGTGCCCAGGACCCGCTGCCTCTTCCCACTCTCAGGGGCACCTTCTCTCCCCCAGAGGCAAAGCATCCTCAGGCCCCTGGCTGGGTGAACGATTTTAACGCGCACTGTGTCTCTCACGGTGACGGCGCACAGGGCCCCTTCACCTGGCTCGTTCTGGAGGATTCCAGGGGTTCGGACTATATGCCATTTTTGCGACATGTTTTCCACTCAGCCTCTGCGTGTAGGATTTGGTCATCCTTGTCAGCCCTGGCAGTTCTAGTTCACTTATTCTCGCTACTGCAGAGTGAGGACCCAGTGAGTTAAGACCCATAACATGGCTACACCCTCCCCTGGCGTGAGGAAAGCGCTCCACAGATGCTGGGTGTTGCTGTGACCATTACCTGTGGTGTGAATACCCCCTTATCCATGCCCCCAGTGGCTGCCTGAAACAGAGCACCAAGCCCTACACCTGTTGTCCTGTTCTCTACACACAGACCTAGGATAGAGCTTGGTTTATAAACAGGTGCAGTAAGAGACTGACAGCAGAAGCTAACAGTGAAACGGAACAATGATGACAACACTCCATAATGAAAGTTCTCTGTCTCTCTCTCAAAAGCCCTTCCTGGATGTAACTATTTCTGCATGATGGTTGTCCGCTGGTCAGTGAAACCTCAGAAAGCAGAGCCGCAGGCGAGGACCGCCACGGGCCCTGGGGCAGTTTCCACCGCTGGTGAGCAACACATCCTGCCGTCTGCCGCCCACGTACAGCGTCCCCAGCCCTGCGCCGGCCAGCAGCACAGTGGCACTGGTCCCGCGGGGCTGTTTCAATTAAAATTCATCTTAAAATTAAATAATGTCAAAAATCCTGGTCCTCGGCCCAAGGGCCACATCCCAGTGGCTCGCTGGCCACAGGTGACCAGCAGCGACTGGATGGAGCCTGGAGATCCAGAAGCTGCCATCCCCAGTAAGTTCTACGGGGCAGCACTGCTCAGGGCGGGGAGCAGAGGCACCACGTCCAACCTGGTCAGTTTTCTGAGCAGCCTGAGGTGCTTAGGAGACTTTTTATCTTTTTAAAAAAAATCTGTTTTGTTTTCAGTGCCCTGTAAGCAAAGTCTTATTGGAAAGGAGACGGGCTAGAGGTTTGCACCGCGAGGTCAGAGGTCACATCAGCGCTCAACAGACGAAGCTTGCTGGTCTGGAGCTGGGCAGCAGATGTGTCCAGCGGTGGTGGAGACCGTGCTGACTCCTCACTCCCCACAATGTGCCTCGCTTTGGGGCGTCTATTACCAGTATATGACACATTTAAAACGAAATGGTCCTGCTTTAAATCAGAGGAAGCCTCGCAGTCTGGCTTGGAGTTCACTGTTCTAAGGAGAAAATGGTGGAGCAATTCCGCATCATCTGAGTGGAGGGAACTGACAGTGACTGTGTCTGCACAGGTGGATGGCGCTGGGACAACAGCCTGCCTGTGCGGTGCACCTGTGCTGTATCAGGGGCTCGAGACTCTCTCCCGTCGGGCAGTGCCCTTGAGACTGTCTGACCATGAGACTATCAGGCGTAGAACTGTTTGCCAACAGATGGAAACTCCCGAAGGCTCTCTGAGAACTGGGCTGAGGATGGAAAAAACTCGGGGAGGCTCTGCCAGTCTTACACTGCAGGTGTCGGGGGAGGCGTCACTGGTAACATCTGAGCAGAAACCAGAGGAAACTAAGGGAGCAAATCACAGCATCCTTGGGGGAAGAATTTCAGACAGAGGGGCTGGCAGGTGCAAAGGCCCTGAGGCAGACATTGTTTCGGTGGCTGAGCAAAGGGGAGGCTGTAGGTAAGGTCGAAGTAACCTGAAGCTACAGTGGCTACTACAAGAATCACAGCTTTCCTGCCAAGTAAGGAGGAAAAGACTGGAGAATTTTGAACAGAAAAATAGGTAAAAATAACCCATATTCTAAAAAACTCCACCCGGCTACTGTGCCTGAAGGACAGCCGTAGGAGGCCAAAAATGGATACTTGCACGAGACTCTGGAGGCCAGGGCCGGGGGCACAGGTGGGGTGATGAGACACAAGGAGGGGCAGTAAGAAGTGGCCAGATTCGGGGCGTGTTTTGAAAGCAAGACCAACCACACTATAGGATGGTGAGAAAATTCCATGAGGCAGAGACCAGAGAAGGAAGATCTGGGGGACCGGAGGCCCCACCGGCTCCATACACGCATCTGTTGTTAAAAACAGAAAAAAGCAGGTCCCCACAGTCATATGGAGCCTCCACCCAGACGTCTGACCTAACGTGATCTCTCCCCAAAACGCGATTCTAAGCCAGGCATCCAGGTGTTTCCTGACCAGCACCTGTGAGGTGACCTGCACAGGACACCCGTGTCCCCGAGAGGAGGTGGTTCTACCTGAGATAATCGTTTCCTTTGCTGTAACCTTTGCCAATAAATAACCTCTGTTTTGGGGAGCCCCCAGCATTCTCTGCAGGATGCTGGCTGATTCACCAACTGATTAATAAAGCCAATGAGATCTACATTTGTGAGTTGTGGTTTTAACGCCGTATGGCAATTTGTTAGGGAACAAAGTCTCAAATGCGTGGTGATCCAATGGAAGAAAATAAATTATTTTGAGACTCATTATGCATTTCCAGGATGCCCCCTTGAAAATGTGAGTTCAGGGCCTCCCTGGTGGCACAGGTGGTTGAGCACAGTGCTGTGAAGCTGTCCGCAGCCTCTGCAGTGCCGGTTCGATCCCTGCCGGCCGGTGAGAATCCCACATGGGGCAGACCTCTCCTGTCTCGCCCGCTGCTCCCCTCAGCAGTGTGTTTCAGTCAGTCTGCCTGTTCTGCTCCCCACTCTGTCTCTGGTGAATCCTCTCACCCCCCACACCTCTGGCCTGTACCCCAGTTCTTGTATGCATGAATAAATATTAAAAAAAAAAAAAGAAAATGTGGGTCCACTGACGACGAGAGCAGCAAAAATGTGTATTTGTATTTTCTCCGCTTACCCCCACCCAATGCAGCATATTTAAGCTGGCTCCTTGCATGGGTTGGACCAACAGGATTTGGTGCCTCAAATCCAAGGATCCCTTTTAAGGGACCCCGCCAGGCGGGCTGGTACTTTGGCCTAGAAAGACTTAAAAACTGCCCACCAGATGGACACTGGACACAGCAGGGGCAACAGACCTCGCCGGGCAGACTTCACTGGGCCAACCTGGGTTTTCCGGAACAGCCGGTCACATGACCCCTGCTGCCACCGTGGAGCCACCATCTGCAGCCTGGGCCAGGGCACCCCCCTCACGCAATTAGACGAGGATGACGGATCGACCGGGGCAAGGCTGGGTGACGGAACAATGACAACGGCTGCCGCATGTCAGCAGAGAACTGGCGAGGGTTCGCCGAAGGCAGATTTTGTAGGCAACGTTTAGGAGAATTTCCAGGAGAATGATATAGGACTTCGAAACCAACTGAAGAGAGACAGAGGGAAAGAATCTGGCCTAACCATCTGGTGGCTGATGGTGCCATGCAGGGACGAGATACACCCGGGGTGGGGGGCTGGGTCTGTGCTTCTCCGACCCTGGCCACTGCCATGGGCTTGCTGACCAGCTGGAGGGCTGGAAAGCCGGGCATTATCCAAGAGGTACAGAGAGCAGCCTCTGAGCCAGTGGGGGGCGCTCACAGCCAACTAGTTGATAAAAGGTGAAGCTTTCCAGGTTCGATCTCTATTTCCTGAACAGAGACTGCCAGGAGTGGGGGGCAGAGAGTCTGAAGCCAGACAGGCCTCCCGTGCTGCCTTTCCTGGCTCTGGTTGGCACCTGGTCTCACTCACACAGCACTGCTGGAGAACAGACAGCTCAGCCACGTCCCACGTTCCACGTCCGGTCACTGGCCTCTCTCTTCCTACTCCCCCTGGAAGGCTGTGTGATTTTTGTTTTGTTTTGTTTTTTTGCCTCTCTCTCTGGGTTTCTGCTTTTGGGTCTTGCCCTGTGTTCTTAAGGGTTTAAGTGAGGACTCACAACACCATCACCCTGTAATACTTCTATTGTTTCTGGGCCTCCCTGGTGGCGCAGGGGTTAATGTCTCAGTACTATGAAGCTATCCACAACCGCTGAAGCATGAGTTCGATTCCCAGCCAGGGAGGCAACCCACACAGCACAGCAGACCTCTCCTGTCTCCCGGCTGTTCCCCTCAGCAGTGTATTTCAGTGGATCTGCCTGTTCTGCTCCCCACTCTCTCTGGTGAGTCCTCTTACCCCCGGCACCTCTGGCCTACACCCCAGCTTTTCTATGCAAAAATTTTAAAAAAGAAAACAGATACCTGCTGAGCTGCCAGCACCTGCTGCCACGTCCCCACTGACCCAGCCCCGGACCCCACCCACTTTCTCTGCTCGGCCAAGCTCACCAGCTGGATATCCAGGCGGCTCCTCATTTTTGGTGCCCTGTGGCTTCCTTGCTGGCCGGCCCAGGCTATTCCTGCAATAAGCTCACGGGGCCTGATCAGCACAGTTGCTCAAGGCACCGTAGCAGCCAGGGAACGCCTCACCCCAGGGCCATGCCTCCCAGCCCAGGCTCACCAGCCGCCGCCGAGCCTCCACCTCCTCACTCACCACAGTGCCTCTCCGATGTCAGCCGAGAATTCCTGGGAAGCTCTTTAAAAATGCAGCTTGCCAAGCCCCCTCCCTAGAGACTCTGACTCAGCAGCTCTAGGGTGGAGCCCAGAGATCTGGGTTTTCAAGGAACACTGCCAGAAGGTTCCCATGCAGCAGGCTATGCCTGGGGAGACTGGCCCACCTGGGGTTCCCAAGCCTCGCTGGCTGGTTACAGGTTTCTGAGCCTCTACCCTGGAAGACTCAGAGAACTGAGAGGAGACAGGTCCCAGGGAGGTCAGGCCGCACTGGAAAACCACCTTCAGGGTAACATCCCGTCTAGTCAGTCAGCAAGAGCACCTCGCACCTCAGGTGAGCTTTCTCCCGCCCTCTGCACCCCTAGGTCACACTCAGCAGGCTGACTAGTCATCCCCCTTTTGGAAGCCTGGTCTGTCCACCTCTGCTCTAGCTCCACCCCAGCCCCTGCTCCTGTGAAAACCCAGCCTTCCAGCTTCATCCCATATATCTGTGTGCTGCCTCTCTCACTGGGTGAATTGTAATAAATTGGCTGAATTTATTATATACAATTTATTACATATATATTTTTTAAAGATTTATTTATGCATACAAGAACTGGGGTACAGGCCAGAGGGGTGGGGGGTGAAAGGACTCACCAGAGACAGAGTGGGGAGCAGAACAGGCAGACTGACCAAAGTACGCTGCTGAGGGGAGCAGCAGGAGAGACAGGAGAGGCCTGCTGGGCCATGTGGGTTGCTCCCTGGCCAGCAGGGGGATCGAACTTGTGCTTCAGTGGCTATGGACAGCTTCATAGGTTGCGTCTTAATCTCCTGAGCCACCAGGGAGGCCCCGTAATTTATTATATATATTAACACTCTAGCTGAGTGACTCAAAGCTGATGCATTAGCTGCTCTGGGCCTCGGCTTCCTCTCTTTAAAACAGGGATGGTAGCCTGGTGGCCTTGAGTTAAGTCTCAGTGCTATCACTGCAATGGCCCACTGTGGCCTGAGTTCAATCCCCAGCCAGGGACCTGACCCATAGGGCACAGCAGACCTCTCCTGTCTCCCCGCTGCTCCCCTCAGCAGTGGATTTCAGTAGATCTGCCTGTTCTGCTCCCCACTCTGTCTCTGGTGAGTCCTCTCACCCCTCACACCTTTGGCCTGCACCCCAGTTCTCATATGCATAAATAAATAAATCTTTAAAAAAAAAAAAAGAAAAGAAAATGACCTTCACGGTGTCAGTTTTGATGCTGAGACAAAGAAGGGGTGAGCAGCACATCCCCCCATCTGTCAGGGAAGCCACTTGGACTGGACATGAAGCAAGAACAGCTCCAACTGGACAGTGCTGTGAGACGTTAGCAAAGCCGCAAGCTGCCAGAGCAGGCCTGGAGCCGGATCTCTAGCTGCTCCAGTGGCCCACGTGGAGGTGCTTGAGTTAAATGTGTGTTAGGAGTAAAATCTCAGCCAAAGAGATTCCTCTAGAAAGAAAGACTGCTCAACTTTCTCAAATAAGTGTTTTGAGGGAACAGAAACTGGGGATGCACAGGGAAATCTCTAGCTGTGATTGGCCAGATGCTGCTCCCAAGGCCAGCAGCACCAGAACAGGAGCCCAGGGCCCGCGTCCCCCAATCAGCGATGTAACGCAGCAGCGGGAGCTCTGCGTCTGTAGGCCCTGGACTAGCTGCTCTCTACCTGGTGACACCAAGGTAGGCATACAAAATGCAATGAAATATTCTGCCTCTGAGCAAGCACAGACTTTTTCTGTTTTTTTAGGGGGAGCAAGTACACCAATGATTAAAATTAAAAGGAAAAAGGCGTTACAAGGTTGTCCACGCTAGAGACATTTTCAGAAATAACCCACATGGGCGTGTGATGCCCGACGCCTGTCCAGCCCAGGCCTGCAGGGCAGGTGCATGCCTGCTCCTACCTGCGAAGCGCAGGGGCGCGTCCTTGTCCAGGGCGATGAGCGGCGGGTCCAGCAGCACCGTGTTGTCGTTCTCCGTGACGATGCCGTGATAGGTGGGCTCCAGCCACGGCTTGTGCTTGTTCACTGCGTGGACACCGAAAAAGAAGAGAGAACAGGCACACGGTCAGCTCCTCTGACTCCACAGCTGGGACGGCCGCATGCAAGCAAAGGAAAACAGATTCTTGCTTCACTCCCTACACCCCGGTTAATTCAGAAGGGATGGATGACTTGGACGGAAGACCTGAAACCGTAACGTCCTTAAAGGAAAACGCAGGGGACCCGTTCTGGTCTTGGCGCACTTGGCCCGCAGGCTGAAGGGTCTCCCTAACTGCTGATGCCCCATGTCTCTCCAGGTAGCTCTGACGTGGGCTGCACAGCTGCCCAGGGTCGGAAGTGCGCTACAGCAAGACAGGACATTTTCAAGAACGTCCTCCAAAGCGCCATGGTTTGTCACCAATCCCTCCTTTTAAAGCACACACATAATCAGATCAATTTATCGCTAATATTTTATCCTGGGCCTCCCTGGTGGCACAGGGTTAAGTATCAGCACTATCAAGCAATTGCCAGCCACTATGGGAGCTGACCCACATGGCACAGCAGACCGCTCCTACCTCGCCCCCTGCTCCCCTCAGCAGTGTATTTCAGTGGCTCCACCTGTTCTGCTCCCCACTCTGTCTCTGGTGAATCCTCTCACCCCCTGCATCTCTGGTCTACACTCCAGTTCTTGCATGCATAAATAAAATCTTTAAAAATAAAAATAATATTTTATTCTACTTGGTTTTCATATTTTCAGGTCTTACTCATAAAATTATAAGCATAACAAGAGTAAAGGTTATTACAAAATTTAAATGTTGAGAACTCCTGAGATCTAAACTAAGTGAATTTATTAATCCAGCAAGAATGTAAAAATACCAGGCAAAGCAAACTGCAGAATGCCAGTGACAGGGAGTAGGAGAAAATGTTTCTGTTACCCTAATAGAAAGGCCTGCAGCTGAAAATGGCAATGGTTCAAGAAGAAAAAATAAATCCACAGCTGTGTTGCCAGTCCTTAAACTTTCCCCCAGCATGCTAATTCTAGAACTCGAAATTTCTAAATTGCTCCCTTTGGCCGTCAGCAGAATGAAGAGCCCTGGCCAGCTCCAAAGACTGAACTTTTGAATATTTAATAAATGATATTTTTAATATTTCATCATATTCAATTTGCATTATAAAATATTCATAGAAACAAGTGACTGCTGTTTCTGAAATCATCCCCCAAATCGCAGATCAAAAAAAGGGACTGCCAGCCATGTTAAGAATCCCTGCCCAGTTCATTTCATCCATTCTGGACCATATAGACACCACTGAAGTCTGAATGCCAGCGCCGTAATTAAAGTCACGGAAGAGCAAGGCTGGTGGCTGAGCAGACCTCTGCAATGGTGGCTGTATCTGGGCTACACGCCTAGTATTTCAGGACAAGGCTAGTGTTGGGGTTGCTGTGGGGTCCAGTCATTAGATGTCACCAATTTAAAAGTCAGGATAAAAAGAGCAGTCAGGGGCCTCCCTGGTGGTGCAAGGGGTTAAGCTGCCGCACTGTGAAGCTGTCCACAGCCATTGCAGCACGAGTTCGATCCCCGGCCAGGGAGCTGACCCACATGGCACAGCAGACCTCTCCTGACTCGCCCGCTGCTCCCCTCAGCAGTGGATTTCAGTCAGTCTGCCTGTTCTGCTCCCCACGCTGTCTCTGGTGAATCCTCTCACCCCTGCATCCCTGGCCTGTACCCCAGCTCTTGTATGCATAAATAAGTCTTTTAAAACAGAAAAGAGCAGTCAACTTCAGGGTTAACTTTCCATAGAAAACTCCGTCTCCCTGGCACCATTCAACTCTGTGAGCTCCTCGTCCAGGTCACCGAGTCACAGCGGCCTGGACACCAGCTTCCATTCTGATTTACTCATTCATCAAGGGCAAGCCACTGTTTACAAAACAGACGCATGCCCTTCTAATTCCAGAATACCTCCGTTGGTTGTGTCGACCCAGTAATTACATAATAAAAATGACAGCTGAGTGTTCTAGGAGACTAACTTCACGGGTAAATCCTGGAAGACCTTACACATTTGGTTTGCAGATTCCAGCCTTTTAACCCTGGGCCTGCAGAAGCCTGCAGCTCCAGGACACCACCACTAGGTGGCGGGAGGCGCTTCGACAACGCGCGGCGGGGCAGGGATTTGAACTGCCCTACTGGGGTGCGTGTCGCGTGAGCAGCCCTGGTGAGAGCCGCTGTGCACAGCAACGTGTCCCCAGATACATCAGTACAGATGCTCTGGCTGGATTTTTTTTTTCTTTGAGATCACTTGGGGTATAGTGTTCCAAAACCCAAATATCAAGAGGCCCAGTCTCATGGAAGCTCCAGGCACCCCGAGCTGACCAGGTGGGGAAGTGTCCCTCCACCACGCGGCCAGAAGCCAGCAATGGAAATAACCTGAGATGGGCCCCCAGAGGCCAGAAGAGCAAGGGGGCTGCCCAAGAACACCCTTAAAGGAGACATGCTTTTAGGGAGTCTTTCAAGCAGAACTCATGCAGGCGCACGCTCGGGTAACAAAGACATGTGCCTCGCTGCGGGATGGGGAGACGGCGAGGGATGTGTGGGGGTCTGCTGGGGAGGGGCTGAACCTGGGTGTAGGGTGAATGAGTTAACCAGGCTCTTTACACCACTGGCCTCTCGCCATCGCCTGCGGCCTTGATGGTGCTGCCGCAGGAGGTGCTTGGGCGCTGGGCGAGTGGGCCTGATGGCAGACACCTGAGCACGGGTGTGTGCGCGCATAGGTGTGCACACCTGAGCCTTGCAGTCAGGGATTTAAGGCGGCGTCACTCAGGGACCGGGAGGGCTACGGGAAGGCAGCTACGAAGGACAGGCGGCGCGGCTGCAGAAGAGGGGAGACCACGCGACAACGCCAGAGACCCAGAGAAAGCTTAAAGGTTTGTGGGGGGCTGGGACGCACAGTTGCCTGCCTGCCTTCCAGCACCCCTGCCTGGCCAGAGCCAGCCTCCGTGCCTGGTTCCCCGAGAGAGCATTAAACCCTGAAAAATCCACCTAGGGCCCCGGGGTTCTCCTTGCCCGAATCCACAGTGAACCTGCCCTGTGCGTGCTGGCACTAGACTGGGTGACGGGGGTGCACAGTGAACACCCCGATTCTGAGCTGCAGTAACGAGCTCTGAGTCCTTCACCCACAAGAAGCTGTGAAAAGCTTCAAACAGTAGCATCTGGTAGAAAAAGCAGGAACCAGTTCAGACAGAACGTGGGGAGTAAATGAATTCTGTCTGCCTCACTCCCTGCATGGGGGAAACAACTGTTCAACCACCGCACCCCTGTTTCTGCAACCCTGTGAGGAGGGCATTGCGGCCCACAGCCTTGTCTCCTGTTATGAACTCCTAAGTGAAAGGTGCCCCCCAACCCGGTGCCTGCCCCATTCTCAGCAAAGAGCCGGTGCCACGTTTTAGCAGTAACTCAGGGCAGGAAGACGAGGGCTAGGTTGGGGAGGGGGTGCGATCCATTTCTCCCCAAATGTACAACCTACAGGAAAGGACTCCAGTGGCCTCAGACCCTGTAGAGACCTGATTTCACCTCTTCTGTATTTAGTGAAAGGAAAGCAGAGTGACAGGTGCTACCAAGCATTTGCACTTTTTTAAATGAGACTTTAATCAAGCAAAGTAACCTGCATGATAGCGCCTCACTCCCCGCCCAGCTGACCTCACTCGGGTCAATCTGGGAACTGCTCAGGTCAAGCAGTAGCCGTTCCCCCTGAGCCCGCAGAAGTCATCTTTAAATGACTCAATTTGTTTCTAAAACCAAACACTTGCAAAGAATCTCTAGACAAATTCCGTAGCTGCGGGTCTAAGGGCTTTGTCACCACGATCCCAAATAATTTAAGGAGCAAGGAAAAGATCTACAGATGAGTGTTTTGCTAGGGTGTCTCAGCCTCAGCACTAGGGCCCTCCGGGCCTTGGGGGGATAGTTAACTAACAGCACTCCTGGCCTCCGTCCACTAGAGGGGAGTAGCCCCCCCCAAGTTATAAGGCCCCAGATGTCTCCAGCTATTACCCAAAACGCCCTGGCGGCCAACGCTCTCCCCAGCTCCTCGGAGAAGCACTGACTCAGACGCACCTCTTTAGGGAAAACCTAGGTTTTCCGCATTAAAATCATTATAAACTTCAAAACTGCTGATGCTAATTTATGTGTATCTATTGATGTGAGGCTCATTTTAAGAACCATTTAAAGTCACATTTCAATGTAAAGTGAATCCTTAAATTAAGCAAACAAGCAATCTTTCTCATGGTTTCTCTCTGCGCCTCCCAGCACCGTGCCCTGCTGGAAAGGCATTGGGGAGGGGGGCCCTTCAAGAAGGGGAAGGGCGCCGCTGGGAGACGCAGACTGTCTCGCGGGTCCTGGTGAGGGCAGACGTGGGGCGCTGAGCCAGGGGTCCGTCGCCATGGTGCGGTAAGAGACTGGCTCTCCCTGGCGAGAAGCATGGCATGTGCAGGGCAGGGTCATGGGAGGAAGAGATGGAGAAGGCAGCAAGGATCTGGGAAGACCCCCTCATCCGGGGGGAGGTCAGGACTGGGTTCCCTGTCCAGGACTGTGCGGCACTGGGCTGATGGACCAGTGTTTCCGGGCAGGACCAAAGATGAGGGGCAACAGGGTGGAGAAAAATCCAGGGGCTTCTGTTTTCCTTCTATCCATCCATCCATCCTTCCGCCATCCATCTACCCACGCACCCTCCCCTCTTGACTGAGCCCTGGACATTCTTTCTAGGTGCAGAAGAAATAAGTGCATGAAACAGACCCTGCTCACCCAGAGCTCGAGTCGCGGTTGGCTGAATTAATTTTAAGCACATTTTGCAAAGGAATTCTTAGGGAGCAAAGCCACACTTGCTAGAATGCCAACTTTTCAAGCTGAAGAGGGGCCTTCTAATTACTCCTCTAAATTCCAAGCAAGTTTTGTTTTTTTTTTAATTGTGGTAAAATAGGGCTTCCCCAGTGGCGCAGCGGTTGAGAGCTGGGCTGCGAAGCTGCTGGCAGCCTCTGCAGTGCTGGATCGATCCCCGGG